CATAGCAAAGTGTCCCTGTTTTCCAGGAAGTCCTGAATTTCCAGAAGCTGTCCTGGTTTTTGATTTAATCCTGGAATGTCCAGCTTTACCTTTGTTGTTGTTGTTTAGTCATTTAGTTGTGTCCGACTCTTCGTGACCCCATGGACCAGAGCACGCCAGGCACTCCTGTCTTCCACTGCCTCCCGCAGTTTGGTCAAACTCATGTTCGTAGCTTCGAGAACACTGTCCAACCATTTCATCCTCTGTCGTCTCCTTCTCCTTGTGCCCTCCATCTTTCCCAACATCAAGGTCTTTTCCAGGGAGTCTTCTCTTCTCATGAGGTGGACAAAGTATTGGAGCCTCAACTTCAGGATCTGTCCTTCCAGTGAGCACTCAGGGCTGCTTTCCTTCAGAATGGAGAGGTTTGATCTTCTTGCAGTCCATGGGACTCTCAAGAGTCTCCTCCAACACCATAATTCAAAAGCATCAATTCTTTGGTGATCAGCCTTCTTTATGGTCCAGCTCTCACATCCCTATTTTCACTGGAGAAGTGTTGGAGGGTTGAGTTAATGTGACCCCCAAACCAAGGAGATAAGTAACTAGGCAACCTTTAGGAGACGTCTGGAGGCAGCCCTGTATAGGGAAGTGGGTTGTTTTTTTTTATGTTTAATGTTTTATTATGCTTTTATATTTATTGGAAGCCACCCGGAGTGGCTGGGGCAACCCAGTCAGATGGACAGGGTATGAATGATAAAATTATTATGATGGAATAGGCCATTCCTACTTTCATCAGAGAAGTGTTCAAGGGTATGTAAATCTTTATTAAACGGCACGTGTGCAAACTGTACAGGTTGGGGAAAGTGCCCAATTCTAAATCAAAAGGATCTGAGCTCTGTACAGTGGTACCTCAGGTTAAGAACTTAATTTGTTCTAGAGGTCTGTTCTTATCCTGAAACTGTTCTTAACCTGAGGTACCACTTTAGCTAATGAGGCCTTCTGCTGCTGCAGCACCGCGCCACGCGATTTCTGTTCTCATCCTGAGGTAAAGTTCTTTACCTGAGGTACTATTTCTGAGTCTGTAACCTGAAGCGTCTGTAACCTGAAGCATCTGTAACCTGAGGTACCACTGTACTTCAACCCAAAGCTGGGGGGGAGAGATATTTCCTGGGGGACGTTAACAGGCTTTAGAGGAGGCAGAAATAAAGTTGAGGTGCCAGAGGCAACCCCCTCTCCAGGACAGAAACAGGCGAAGGACAAGCACCCATGAAAGGGGCAAATGGGACGAGTTCGTTTTGCCCGCATGCATTTCTGTGCTTTCAAGGGAATCAACATGACATTTTGTTTACAGTATCACGGAAACCATGTCAGTGTGAACCTGAAAGCACCAGGGTGCAAGTAAAAAACACACTGTTGGGTGTGAGACATGCAGGCAAGCAGGCAGGGTGCTGCCGCCCCAGGTAAGACATAAGAGAGATTATTATTTTTATTTGAATTCCCAGGCTGCCGCTTGTTTTTAATCTGGTCAGCTGTCTTCACTGCACATAATGAATTGACCGGGATTTTTGGTCTTGAGGGATGTATCTGTTTGTGTTACTGATTGAATGGTACATTTCAATAGGCTTGTATGTGTTTGTTAATATATTGCACTCTGCATTTGATTGCCATTTTGTGATTCACTACAAAGCATTTAAGAAATGTTGTGTATATGGGGTTGTTGTTGTTTGTTTGTGTGTGTGTGTGTGTGTGTGTGTGTTTGTGTGTGTGTGTGTATGAAAGATACATGCACACACACAAACATCTTTTGCTCTTATGTTCTTAGTTTGCATCTAAAGGCAGTTACCTAACTTGCGCTTTCTGAAACAACACAGCCATCCTTTGAAACGTTCACTTCTCCGAATTTTGTAATGCAGTCTCCTCCAGCCAAGTAAAGTGTGCAAAAAAGTGTATCGGATAACATGTCCATATATTAGGGGGGGGGGACAACGAAAATGCATCGTATTGGGGAAAACTGCTTTGCCAAACATGTGTATAGCAGGCAAGGTTGTGTACAAAAATGTGTAAAGGTAAAGGGGCCCCTGACCATTAGGTCCAGTCGTGGCCGACTCGGGTTGCAGTGCTCATCTCGCTTTATTGGCCGAGGGAGCCGGCGTACAGCTTCCAGGTCATGTGGCCAGCATGACTAAGCCGCTTCTGGCGAACCAGAGCAGCGCACGGAAACGCCATTTACCTTCCCACCGGAGCGGTACCTATTTATCTACTTGCACTTTGACGTGCTTTCGAACTGCTAGGTTGGCAGGAGCAGGGACCGAGCAACAGGAGCTCACCCTGTCGCGGGGATTCGAACCGCCGACCTTCTGATCGGCAAGTTCTAGGCTCTGTGGTTTAACCCACAGCGCCACCCATGTCCCTTACAAAAATGTGTACACTAGGAGAAAATCGTACAAGAATGCTGAAGAATTTATTGGATCTAACCAAATAAACCAAAAGCAAAGTGATGTGGAAATATGAATCAAACTGAAGAACGGAAAAATCTGTCCAGTTGTGACTGACCCATGACAGGTCCTTTCCAGTGGTGGCTCCCCAGTTGTGGAATGCCATCCCTAGGGAGTTGCACCTGTCTCCACCGTTAAACTTCAGGAGGAATTTGAAAACATTTGTTTACCCAGGTGAATTTGGTGGCTGAAGAATAACTTTCCTGGCAAGCCCAAGATCATCAGATGGAAACAAATGTTTTTAACCACTCTTAGGTGGTTTTCAACTGCAACTGCTTCTAGATGTTTGCAATTGTAACTGCTTTTAAATTGTTTTAACCTGTTTTGGAATTTTTTTTTATTTTGTTTTTAAGTTGTGTGTCTGTTTGCCATCTTGGGCTCCTTGAGGAGGAAGGGCGGGCTATGAATGGAATTCAGTAACATTTTTTAGAAGTTGAAAAAATTGAGAGATACCAAAATCAACAGGTTTGGCGATCCTTCCACTCTCTCCTAACACCTTCCACTCCCTAGTTAGGCTGTCCTAAGGAGCCTTCAAATTATTCCCGACATGCAAAAACCCTTTCGCCTGTGGCAAGTCCTTTTTCAACGGCTGGTTGATTAAATTAGCTTTTCCCGTCCTTGCAGCGAGGAGAGGATTGGAGAGATGGCGCCAAGGAAATTCCATGCCAATTTCTGCAAGGTTGTTTGGTGCTCTGCGGCGATAAAACCACAGAGGATTATCCTTTTGCGAGAGAGGTGGCGGTGAAGCAAACCTGTGTGCTCAGAGGGTGAATGGCCTGGAGCCCCGACCGCGAACTGCAGGGAATTGTGGATTAAGGGGTGGGGAGATGTGCGTAACTCTGAATTCCATGCACACAACACAGCACTAAAGAGATCCATCAAGATGGGGGCTTGTGAAACTTTGCTTCTGCAGCAGTTTTCAACCTCCCCAGAACCAGCCCCGGCTAAAACAGACCTTGTCGGCAGTGTTTTGTGCTGATCTCGGAGCAATTGCACTCTGTACGGTTTTGCTGTGCCGATCAGTTAAGCTTGCTCAGACTCTAATAGCTGTTGCAAGAATCATGGCTGCAGGGGGAACATGTTATCCTCAAACCATCAGGGCTGGTGCGCAACCCTCGAAAACAGCAGAGCATTCATAATCAGCTGCGTTTGGGATACGCGGGTCTGGAAGCAAAAAGCCTCTTTACTCTCTACACTGCTTCTGGCATTAAACCACTTACCCCCAGCCTTCTGAAACCTGGTGACCATGAGATGCTTTAGGCCGTGACTCTTAGCAACCTGAGCTCTCACATTTACCAGCACCTTAGAACAGCATTTGAAATTCACCAGGCATGTTTTGCACCAGGCTATCGGCCACTTGTGACCAAGGGAAAATGCCCGGGTACCAGGATGGCGCCTGACATCTCTACCATCTGGAGGTGCGTGCCTGGAGATCCTTGGACCTTGTCTGTTTTCACACACTTGGCAACGCATCTTGTAGAATTCTATCCATTATATTTTATCTGCACAACCGGAATTAATTTCAGGAACACAAAAGTTGCACTGAAAAATACGGCTTTTGAGCCATCTGGCCCCAAAATGTCAACTGGGCATTCTGTTTCAGTGGCTGCAATCCTGGTTTAAGGTGCCCTATGTGGCCTGGCTTATAGATCTGAGTTTCTAACACAGCCTTAGAAGCTGTGAAGCTCTGGTGTTATATAGGAAGCTGCCTATTGTGTGCCCAGAGTGGTATATTGAAAGGATAAAGTAAATTCCACAAGGATAGGTCAAATGGCCATTGCAGCCAAACACAGAGATGGGGAATGTGTGACCTTCCAGATATTGCTGGACCACAGCTCTCATTATCCTTCAGCATTAGCCATGCTGGCTGGAGCTGATGGGAGCTGGATCCCAACATCTGGAAGGCTATACTGTTTATTGCATTTATATCTCACCTTTTCACCATAGGAGCTCAAGGTGGTGTACAAGGCTCTCCCCTTCCTCATTTAATCCCCACAAGAACCCTGTGAGGTAGGTTAGGCTGGGAGGCAGCGACTGGCCCAAGTGCACCCAGTGAGCTTTGTGACAGAGTGGGGATTTGAACCCTGGTCATAGTTTGACATGCTATCCACTACACCACCGCAGGCTCCCATCCCCAGCTATAAGGAACCTCCGTGTTCAGAACTTAGGGACCTGCCTGATATTAAGTCACACCAGGTGAAGGTCGAAGGATGGACACTGAGACTTTCTCCGACGCTCTTGAATGTTGTCCTCGACCCACAGATGGAAGAGTCCAAATCCCTTTATGCATAAGGGGCAGAGAAATAGAACAGGGGGTAGTATACCTCCACATGAAGGGACGAACAGCAGGGGACAGCAATTGCTTTCGAGGCCTGCTTTGTTGCCTTGGCAGAGATTTCTGACGGGCTGAACACATAGCCTTGCTGCCAATTCCTCTCCCCGAACACCACGCTTGTCAGAAGGCTGCCAACTCGGCAATGATTTCCACAAACAATATTAGAAGAAAGCAAGTGATTGGAAGATGCTTATACTGCAAATCGGCAAAATGCTTTATTGATTTGCATCCTCACTGCACATAAGAATCTGACTCATCCTAGTAAAAAACCCACCCCTAAATAAATAAAAGTTGGCATCGGCGTGTAAGACCCCAAATGGGGTTGGTGTGAGCAATCAAGGATGAATTCCGCCTCATTTCAAGCCCCAGGCTGAAGGACACCCTCCCACCCACTGTCCTGCTCTGCTAAACACAACGCTATCCACTCTCATGAAACACAAAGAATCCTTCTGGCAAGATGAAAGGCTAATGTGAATCCATAACAGAATATTGAGCCGTCCTAAACATTTTTTACTTTTTTTTTTTTTTTAAGGCTCCCTTTTGGAAATTTGCCTTTGGAGATCCTAAAATGGTCAGAACCCCTTTTGAGAAAAAGCAAGAGAGCACAGCCCAGATGTGCGGCAAGCACATTTGCTTTTGTTTCTTAGGGTCAAGTTCCCAAGGCCACCTGTGAACCAGCCCTGACAGGATCAGGGGTCTCCTGCTGACAGATCAGGGATGGTCAGGTGTGGTCTTCCAGTTGTTACCTGGCTGCGACATGACTGCTGGTGATCCTGGCAGGGGATGATGGGAATTCAACCACATCTAAAGGGTCACCGGCACCCCCAACCCCAGAATAATAAGACAGAACGCTTACAGGCACCAAAAGAGAGCCTCCTTATCTGCTATCGATGCTGCTTCTCATTTTTTCCACCCTGCCTGCCTTCTCCCAACAACTGGTTCTCCCCCTGAGAAGCTATCAGGCATGTAGGACAACTGCCTAAAAGAAGCACACCATGGACTAGTTACTTAAAAGGCAGCATAAAAAATGGGAAGTCTAGACTTGCATGCTTCTGGCTGCTCTCCACACAGTATGTCAAGAAAGGGCTGTAGCTCAGAGGTAGGTCACATAATTTGCATGCAAAAGGTCCCAGGTTCAATCCTTAGCGTCGGCTGGGAATGGCCTCTGGAGAGCAGCTGCCAGTCAGTGCAGACAATACTGAGTCTGACGCAGCAGAAGGCAGCTTCCAATGCTCTGTAGCAGGTATTTCCAACCACTTTCACATCCTTGCTTCATTTCAATCGCAAGCAAATTATTCAGGGGAACTGGGTTCTGAAGCAAAGGTGAAAGAGGCAACCATTTTGATAAGGACAGATATAAAACGGAGGTCTCAAAGAGAGTGTTTGTAGCAAGAGAGACTGATGTACAGCTGGGTGCAGAATCCGATGCACACTTATTTGCTGGCAATGATGGGAGCCGGGCAGGCAGGCAAATGAAGTGTCAGAAAGTCCGGCTGCCTGGACCACAATCCCTCAACTCCAGGGTTCAGATTAGGAGATTCTAACACGGACCTCATTGCTGTGGCATGACTGCCATCTGGCTGCAGCAAACGGGAAATGAGACATGGCAGGCTCAGGCTGAATAAGGAAGGAGTGCAAAAAAACCCCGGACCCCCCGCAGGTGTCAAAAGGAGGGCTTTGAGGATCCATGCAATTGCTGCATCGGAAGAACGGGCAAGGGTTAAAAGAGGTGGTTGATCAGGCCTGGTTCAATCAGAATTCACAACACAGGCTGGACTGGGACAGCCAACAGCGCTGGGGGAAAAAGCAGACACCACACAGCAGGTATCGAGATAAAAAGTGTTTTGCAAGCAACTTCACCACCACTGCCAGGTCATAAAAACAGTACAGCACTCTCTAAAGATTGGCACTGCACATTCCATCTGGTTCCAAGAATTACTATCCCTTGAGATTACATTGAGGGCCTCGCTGATGTGTGTTCTCTTTCTCTCACTCACTCACACACAAACACACACACGTGTCCATACAGGGCTCATGCCCTCTCCATCAGCCGCCACCCAAGAATCATCGCAGCTGCAACAACAAAGAGAGCAGCTTGTAGGACAGTCACCAGCAGTTTCCACAACACTGCTCACAGAACCTCCCTCCCACCCAGAGTCCAATTGTTCCTTTGATTCACCCTCCACAGGAAACACAAAGAAAACATTGGGTTTGCTCATTGCTGGGATATACAAATGGCTACCGCCCCACTCGCCCCTCCCCTCAAGCTTCGGAGCAATCAAGTGCGATCCCCTTAACCACACTTTCAGTAAAAGCAATTGGAAGTTCAGGACACCCAAGGACCTTGGAAAACTCCTATTTCCATGAGTGCCTAACTGCGATCAGTGTCGTTCACGGGGTCGGCTGTTTAAGAGGCACTGCGGTCGGATCTGTCCTCCATTCAGCACCTCTCAGATGCGCAGGCTGCCCATTGCGTCTCCCCAAGGCTACCCTGCTTGTGCCTCTCAATGCAAAAAATATATATAATTTTTAAAACGATACACCGCGTGTGCTCTTCTGCAGGATATACAAGAATGGAATGGACTCGAGACCACAGGCATACATTCTTCTTTTAAGTAGTCTTTGGAAATGAGAAAGCTAAACTAACGCTGTGGGGTGGGCTCTGGTACACGGCGTGGGCTCACAAAAGAGAGAGAGAGGACAGCAGGAGCAATGTGGGCAGCCAAACAGGCAGCATCCAAAGGATCGAGGAGGGAGGTGGACCTTCTGCTGGTTCAGACCCAGGAAGAGCAACCACAAGTCTCTGCAAGAGCTGATTGTCTTTAACACAACGCAGGGCCAGAGAGTCACGCAGCCGACCGCCGCCGGATGACGAAGGCTCCGCGCTGGAGCTGTCCAAGGTAAATCCGCATTTTTGTGCTGTCGCTGGTTTTCCTCACCCAGATCTGCGAAGGTTTGGGGGGGGGGGGGACAAAAGGAAAGTCAACTTTTTGTGTTTTCATCTGGGTTGGATTATACAGTCCGCGCTTCCGTGAAAATATATCAAGGTGGTAAAAACCACAAGTGGTTGGGATAAAAATCAGCAAAGCATCAGTTAAAAACAACAAAGAAATGTCAGTAAATAGTTGGGTGAAAAATAAACCATGTTGCACCTCTTTACCCTGGCAAAGCATTATATTATATTTTATTATATTATATTAATAATAACTTTATTATTCAAATACTGCCCATTTGACTGGGATGCCCCAGCCACTCTGGGCAGCAGAATATTAAAACCACGATCAAACATCAAACATTAAAAACTTCCCTCAACAGGGCTGCCTTCAGATGTCTTCTAAAAGACAGGTAGTTGTTTATTTCCTTGACATCTGATGGGAGGGCATTCCACAGGGCGGGCGCCACTACCGAGAAGGCCCTCTGCCTGGCTCCTTGTAACCTCACTTCTAGCAAGGAGGGAACCCTTTTCCCAGGGATTCAAGGTGGCTTACACAAATTAAAACAACATTGGTAAAATACAAGAAGCTAAGAACATACAAATGGTAATTGTTAAAAACTAATTAAACACTAACAGAAATAAAATATAAAAAACAAATCTTTTAAAATACAGATAAAAAAGCAAAGCACTATTTAAAGCCCTCTCCTTAAAAATACCCCAGTAATTTCCCAGAGACCTGTCAGAATAAGAGTCTTCACTGATGATACCTGAGGTATGTATTTTTAGGACCTATCTTATTTCTGTGATTGTATGTTGTTTTAAACTTTTTTTAAGGTTGTGTATTAGTTGGAACACATCCTGAGACCTTAAGGTGAAGGACGGGTGTAGCAGTAGCAGCAGCAGCAGCAGCAGCAGCAACAGTAATAATAATAATAATAATAATAATAATAATAATAGAGGCCTGTCTTTGTAATACAGTTAGGGCTGGCAGAGACCCTTGTCTGAAACTCTGGGGAGCTGCTGCCAGTCAGTGTGTGCAACACTAAGCTGCACAGACTAATTTTCTAGCTAGGTGCAAGGCAGCTTCCTATGCTCCCCAAATTCCCTTTTTCTTGTTGGAGGTGTCGGGAATGGAACCTGGGGCCATCCTGCACCCAAGGCAGGTGCACTACAGCCTCTCTCATACGGTCTTACAGCAATTATTTCATTTCCTGCTGAAATAATAATAAATAATAATAATAATAATTTATTATTTGTACCCCGCCCATCTGGCTGGGTTTCCCCAGCCACTCTGGGCGGCTTCCAACAAAGATGAAAAATACACTAAATACAAAAGACAAAATGCACCTTTTCCCTAAGCTGACTTGAGAAATACGTCACGCCTACTTAAAGTGGCCAGCGCCAGAAGAATCCTTCTCCCCAAGTTTGGGCACGTCTCCAGCGACAGGGCGAGTTGGGACTTAATTTCAATTATGCGGGCACCTAACCGCATTAAGATGCTTATTGTTAATGTTAATAAGAGCGAAATTGCTAAATTTGATTTAAGGTTATGTTCTAATGCATCTCTCGGTACGACGCTGCACGCTCATTTGAATAATCACCCACTGAACATAATGACATCTTTGTGACTAGTTTCATTATTAATTGAAAGAGACACTTTGAATAGCAGCCATAACTCACGAGCCTGAGCGAGCCGTACAAAATGTTTTCCTTTTAATTGCCCACTTGTTTCAGTTCCCATGTTTTGCTCGAGGCAGGGTTTTATGCAGCTTCGTGGAGTTGGAAGGGGCCACAAGGGTCATCTAGCTCAACCCCATGCAATGCAGGAATCTTTGTGCCCAATACGAGGCTTGAACCCACGGCACCAAGATCAAGAATCTCACGCTCTACGTGATAGATTATTGGAGTACTACAATATATCCAAAACAATGGGAGAAATTGGAGGGATCTCAAAAGAGAAGATAGACAAGGATTGGAAGGTGTTTAAAGGATACTTGCAAAACCATACTGAAAAATCAGAACTCCTATTAGAATAAACAAGTTCCATTTTAAATACTGAAATACTAAATAAGATGGATAACAATGTGTAATAGAAAAAGAAGCATGAAATTAGGTTAAAGGTGTGTGAAAGAAAGTAATAGAAGTGGAAAGAAATTGCAATTGAGTAGACTGGAAGTCTAACACAAAGGTGGGGTGAGGGGTGGTGGATGGTGATGGGAAAAGGAATTATTTGTGGGACTGAGTGTAGGTATGTTTGAACATTTTTAAGGATTGTATGAAATGTATGTTTGTATGCTTGTATATTCGCAACATGTGTGTATTAATGCTGAATTGTTTTAACAATAAAAACTTTTTTTAAAAAAAGAATCTCACGCTCTATGTGAGCTACCCCACATGTATGGAGAAAGGCAGATAAAAATGTAAGAGGAGATTTGACAGAATTGCTGTGTCTTTTCCCTTTACCTGTGCGAATAGCAACCTTGCCAATAAGCTGCTGAGGCACATAGACTCAGAGTTGGAACGGACTGTGAGGACTATTCTAACCCAACCGCCTGCAATGCAGGAATCTCTTGCCCAATGTGGGGCTCGAACACACAACCCTGAGGTTAAGAGTCTCATGCTCTACCAACTGAGATACAGTGGTACCTTGGGTTACATACGCTTCAGGTTACATACGCTTCAGGTTACAGACTTCGCTAACCCAGAAATAGTGCTTCAGGTTAAGAACTTTCCTTCAGGATGAGAACAGAAATTGTGCTCCGGCAGCGCGGCGGCAGCAGGATGCCCCATTAGCTAAAGTGGTGCTTCAGGTTAAGAACCGTTTCAGGTTAAGAATGGACCTCTGGAACGAATTAAGTATTTAACCCGAGGTACCACTGTAAACAGATGAAGATTATTTTGCTTCCTTGGCCCCTTTTGTGAAATATGGGATGAACCAGGAAGTGTGGCCACTGGTCTTTGGTTAAGAACGCAGGGGGGAGTTTTATACAGAGTTGGACCACTGGTTCATTTAGCTCCGGACCGTCTGCACTGGTGGGCAGCAGCTCTCTCCGAGATTTCGGGCAGGGATCCTTCTTTCGCTAGCCGTACCTGGGGATGCTGGAGATTGAAAATGGGCTCTTCTGCATGCAAATCAGAGGTTCTACCACTGAGCCAAGGCCTTTCCTCTAAAAAAGAGAGTAAGAGTCTAGTCCTCACGGTTCTCATTAAAGGGCTGGATTAAATAGGAACACGAGAGGCTGTCAAATGTCAATCAGAACATCTAGCTTGGCACCGTCCATCTAGAGAGCAACACAGCCATAAAATGGATGCTTCCCAACAATTTCCTGTTGGTCTTTCTACCTGGCTGCGTTGGAGTCAACGGCAAACGAAGCCAAGGAGAATAAAATCCAACCTCCAGAACAAAGACACAAGCCACCAACTGGGTAGAGGAGAAAGCAGAAACAGTCCGAGCAACTACAACTCAAATCTTATGCTGCCCTACTCTCCTTTGAAGGAAGGTACAGAGTAGAAATCTAGTAAGTAATAAAATAACTCAGCAGAGGGGCGGTGGAGGTATAAATGACTGCTAGACTTTTGAAAAGCTGGGATCAAGTTCATCAACTTTGCTGAATAATTAAACTCAATAGTTTTAATTGGATTTTGACTAATTGTGCAATTAATTGTTACTGGTTTGATTTTTATTGTGTTATTATCTTCTGTAGTGGGTTATGCCAACCACTATTCTGACTGCTTTTTATAGGGTAGGAGGTACTGGGGATGAGTTTAGGAAAGCAAGGGAGGAGGCGGCCTGAAAAAAAATCCCCTGGTCTAGACCACTGTTTCCCAAACTTCGGTTTCCAGCTGTTTTTGGACTACAACTCCCATCATCCCTAGCTAGCAGGAGCAGTGGTCAGGGATGATGGGAAATGTAGTTCAACAACAGCTGGAGACCCAAGTTTGGGAAACCCTGGTCTAGACCAAACTCCCAATGCATTCACCAAGGTCTCCCTGACTCGCTTTAACTGAAGATGCGGCAATTATTTTTCCAAAGGGAGGATCAGATGATGTGCACAAGCCAAGAATGAGCTACATTTATGGGGTTCAAGAAGGTTTGGAGCAGTCTCTAAGAGGCCATGTAGGTGATGCCTGGCCGCCACTGGCCTCTGCCAGGGCCTTTTTGATGGTGGCTCCATGTTAGTAAAATCCCCTCCCTGGTGAAGTGTATCTGCCTCTGCCATTGACTTTCTGCAGAAATGGTGAAAACGTTGCTATTTGCACCCAAACATTTGATGGCTGAAAGATATTGCTACCGGCAACCCTGAAATCATTGGTTTTTTTAAAAGTGTTTTCAGAATGTTTTAAAATTGTTTTATTGATGTGTCTACCACCCTGGGCTCTTCCGGGAAGAAGTGTGGGATATAAATTCAATCCATCAGTTGTCAGCTCTTGGCACATAAACTGGGATGGAGAACTAGATAAAGAGCTTCACCTAGTTACGGAAGAGTAATTGTGCTTTAAAAATATATATGGAAGAGTTAACAAAAATGGTCAGATGAAGAGTTTCAGCTTAATAAATGCATCTCACTTCCAATTCCCGAAGCTCTGCCACCAATTGCTGCCATGCAATTGACTAGACAGAAGATTCAGTACAGTGGTACCTCGGGTTACATACGCTTCAGGTTACATACGCTTCAGGTTACATACGCTTCAGGTTACAGACTCCGCTAACCCAGAAATAGTGCTTCAGGTTAAGAACTTTGCTTCAGGATGAGAACAGAAATCGTGCTCTGGCGGCGCAGCAGCAGCAGGAGGCCCCATTAGCTAAAGTGGTGCTTCAGGTTAAGAACAGTTTCAGGTTAAGAACGGACCTCCGGAACGAATTAAGTACTTAACCTGAGGTACCACTGTATTTTGCTCCAAAAGCTGCATTCATCCTGCCACTGGAAAAGAGTCAGGTGGCTACATAAACAAGCACACTTCACTTGTCTGCATACCATAATTTAAAGCACAGTGCCGCCGCCCGGTAAAGAATTCTGAGAACTATAGTTTACCCCATGGAGCTGCAATTCCGAGCACCTGTAACAAACTACAGTTTCCAGAATTCTTGGGGGGGGGGGAGGTGTACACAGCCAGAGGCAAGAAAATTAATAATATTGTGTCATGGTCCACAGCCCCATTGACTGCCAACCCCTTAGAGCTTCAAACCTGGCAACTGCCTGCAAAACTCACTGAAGACCCGAGCTTACCTCATTGGCTCCCACGGAACTGATCACACAGCTAATTTTGGTGTTCTCTTTCGACTCCAGATAAATAGCCTGGCTTTTGTGATACCTGCAAGTAAAAGTTAAGAGCTGTGAGTCTACTTGACACTCTGGGACAGCCCAAGATCCCAGCTTACAAAAATCAACTGGTGTCCTCTGTCCCCCACTGTCCCCGCAAATGAGAATGAGCCATTTGTCTCCCGAAAAAGGAACATTTTAATCCAGGGGCAGTTGATGTCGTGCCTTGCAAATGTTGCTGGACTCTAAACTCCCATCATGCCCAGCCAGCAAGGTCAATGGTCAGGGATTATGGGGCACCAGATTGGCTACCCCCATCATCACACACCCACTCATTTTGCTTTGACCTTAACAGCTATTATTTATGCCTTGACACTTGAGATTTCGTATTTTTAGGGGCCTCTCCCACTTTTGTGATTGTCATTTGATTTTAATGTTGTATTTCAAATTGTTGTGGCCCACCCTGGGAACCTGGGGGTGAAGGGCAGGTAATAAATAAATACTAATAATTTATAAAAGTGTTCTGGGTGCAAGCTTGCCTCATTCAGAGGCACAACTAGCAACTCCGATGAAGGGCAGAACAGATGCAACAGGTTGAAGACTTTGCTCCAGCTTATTATGACTGCAAAGCTCAAACCTGGCCATAACACAAAAAGCTTTTGATAGTGTACTGTGGTGCAAATGCAATAATGCCCTTTGTCTGCAAACTATGAGCAAAGCAGTTGACTCATTCCCCTCTCTAAACTGTGGTTTAGCATTCAAGAATTCTTCAAATGTATGAACACAACAGCATTCCACAGACTACACCGGCTGCTTTCTCCTGCTTCAAATTTATTATGGCTTCTGCTTTTTAATGTTAAATGACAGCCAGTGTACTCTTCACTGCAGGGAATACTGATGAAATGTAGTCATTAGCAAAGGGGCTTATAAGTGCAGACTAGATGAGAGAAATGGGAAATTTGGGGTTAACAGACCAATAGTCTGTATGTGCTATATCTTTTTAAAAAATTATATGCAAGAAAAACTACAGGAGTTCAATATAGGACCCAAACTAGAGTTCAGCAGAGCCTCATATTCAAAAGGAGAAATGGTGGATTGTCCAGAAACCAAATCCATGTGTTTATTGCATGCTGTGGGAAAAACAATCTTTATTAAATTTCTCAGTGATCCAAACACTGCAGCCTCTAGGCCACAAACAATAAACCAACAGGTGACTAATAATCAACAAAGAAATCAGTCAAACAGTTAATTTGAACCTGCCACCCCCGCACTCCACCATCAATTTATATAGGGAGCAAAATAATAAAAACACATTAAGTAGTTTAAAAGATCTTTTAAAAGCTTCTTAAAAGGCCTGAGGGAAAAGGATCTCCTTTGCTGGGTGCTGAAATGCAATTAACACAGGTGCCAGGTGAGCTTCCTGAGGGCAGCATTCTACAAAGCGGGAAGGGGGCAGAAACCAATGAAAAGACCCTCTCTGCATAGTTTACACCATCTGTGCTGAATCCATCAGAGTTGTATTTAATGTCGTGTCCGAGGGCAAAATGCGGTGAGGTGCCAGTCACAGGATTAACAATGTGAATCGGTATTTTAAAAGTAATGTAAAATCTCCCGCAATCTGGACCAGGCCTAAAGTGTGTCGTGTGTGTGTGTGTGAGAGAGAGAGAGAGAATTGAAGTCCCGCTACAACTATCCCAATAGGATCCCTTGCACCTGCAACCTGCTTTTTAAAGCCACTGATGCAATTGCTAATTGTGCAAAACAAAGACTTATCCCATTTAGCCCCCGATTCTGGTGTTATGAAAAGGTGTAGGCGGAGAGAAAAGACATCACTCAAATCTACACACCATCTATGCGCTCATCATTTGATGGACAACTTTTACATTCTATTTCTTCTCCAACCACGTCACAATAGCGCACGATTTCCAGCAGCCACGTTACCACAGAGCAAACAGAGCGTGCTTGCTATAAATTGGGGGGACACAGGCTGGTGAAAAAGTGGACCCGAGTTCCTGCACAGTCTGCATTTCAGCCACCAAGCCACCTTTTTAATTACAAAGAGTTTGCTGGATCAGGCCAATGGCCCATCCAGTTCTCCATCCTGTTCTCACAGTGGCTGACCATCAGAAGCCTGTAAGAAACCCTCACGCAGGATCCGAGCACAAGAGCCCTCTCCCCTCCTGCGTTTTCCAGCAGCTGATATTCAGAAACATTTCTGCCTCCAACCACGGAGGCAGAGCATAGCCACCATGGCAAGTAGCCACCTAGAGCTTTCTCCTCCATGAATTGGCCTAATCCTCTTCTAAAGCCATTTAGGTTGGAGGCTTTAAAAGAATGTTAGGAAAATCTGTGAAGGGTAAAGGCTATATGCTCTGCTTTCACACTTTTGCAAGGAAGAAACCTGCCAAATACGAATAAAAAGGTCATAGGGAAGCCTATGCCTAGCTTTAAACAGTCATTCTTTTGCCATCAGGAGGAAGGAAGGAAGGAAGGATAGGAAGAAAGGAGGACAGAAGGAATATAGAAAAGAGGGAGAATTCAATTCTCAAGCTGACGTTTCATTCCATTTTGACACTTGACAGATTTTAATATGCACTCAAAATGTTGTCCTCCCACACCAAGAAGTTATTTTTAAAATATTAACTACCCTGCTGAGGCATCATTACAATCAATAACCAAAAAAGAAATCTTACAGCAAAGGGTGGGGGAGTGCAGTGTTGATCTTGAGGAATAGGAATGCTAGGAAAGGGGAAGGAAAAGGGCCAACAGTGACACTCGGAAGGAAATCAAGGTGAACAGCAAGGTGAAATTGAGACACACATATATACCATCCTGGGGGCATGGAAAGCCAGTGCAATGGGGCAGAGAGTAATTGACTCAACATTTCGATGCCCTGTTCAGCCATGGTGGTCGGGCATTTTCCTTAGCCATAAGCCTATCTTGCAGGGGGTCTGGTGAGCACATGAACATGCCCCACATGCGCTCCCCACACCACCACTGAGCTTCTTAGAGGACAATGCCATGTTTTCCCCTGGTAGGTAGGAAGCTGCCTTCCACTCAGGCAGACCACTGCTCCATCTAGAGCAATGCTGTCAACACTGACTGGCAGCAGCTATCTTCCAGGATTTCAGACAGGCTGCCCCTCCCAGCCCTAACTGGAGATGCCGGGGACTGAACCAGGGACTTTCTGCATGCCAAGCAGATGCTCTACCCCTGAGCTACGGCTCTTCCCTTGTACGGACCCATTCACCGCCCAGCTTAAATAAGGTGTGTGGGTTGGGTCTTCTTTCTGCAGGCAATCTCACAGAAAACTTTCCTCGAGCGAGATCAAGGCTGACTTCCAGCACAGAGCAGGCAAGGAGCCTATTCGGTTTAAGGAGCCGCGTCTTGAATGGGAGAAAGTACAGAATGCGACTGGGATGACTGAAACCCCTTCAACGCTAATTAGCTGACGAGTTCAGACAACCGCCCATATGGCAAGTACGCTAACGCTGAAGGTTTTAATTAAATTTCACTGCAAAAGATTAGGTAGAGTGGGATCCAGGTAAACAGCACTACAAGAGAAAGGACCTTCGGCTTTGCAAAGGTACTCCCCTCCTCCCCCTTGCACACCTGCCTGGGCTTCCCTAAATCCTGTTTAGGGTTCCCTCAACCTTCTAGAGCAAAGCGAGCCAGTGTGGCGTAGTGGTTAGCGTGTGGGACTGGGACCTGGGAAACCAGAGTTCAAATCCCCACTCAGCCATGAAGCTCACTGTGTGATCTTGGGCCAGTCGCTTTCTCACACTTAGCCCTGCCTTCACAGTGGTGTTGTGAGGATAAAATCAGGAGAGCTATGAATACCACCTTGAGCTCCTTGGAGAAGAAGGGAGTTATAAATGCAATAAACAAATAAATTTTGGGAGGGCACAGGGAGAGGAGGAGGGGAGCAGAAGTTCCATTGTACTCATGGAAATCCTTGCACTAGTGGATCTGTTCAGCTAGACACTGCCCTCCTTCCTCCCCAAAAACTTACTGTTTTGGGCACCTTCAGTTATGATGTCACTTCTTTTTTAAAAGGTCTTAAATATAACAGCAGAAACCCTCCCCAACTTGCACTGTCAGAAAAATTAACAGCTGTGAGTCAAATAAATAGAGCAAAAGTTATGTTTCTTTCTGCTTGGCACCTGCTTGTTATATATTTAACAACTGGCGGAGAGGGGATTCAACCTCCTGAAAAAGAGAAAACCTTTTGGTATTATTTATTACCTAAGCATTAGTGGCCACAACCATCTCAAAATGTGTCCTCCATCTACATCTCTTTCCCCCTTGCTACTGACATCTTTCTGGATTTGGCAATAGATGGCCTCAGAATATATTATTTCTCTAGCTCTGCGATTTCAATATGCATAGCTTCATTATTAAGATTCAATTTTATTTATTTTTCTGTATTATTCCTTTGTAGTTTCTTTTCTTATGTTTTACTTGTTCCTGCTGCATATTTTGAGTCTTGTATAGGAGTATTTTTTTCCCCTCTAATGAAAAATTCCCAATAAACAAACCCAGCGCTATCCTTTTTCAATACGACTTATTTTGAACAAACTGGCTAGCTAAAATCTAAAGAACTGCTTCAGATGCACCTAAATCTGGGTTTGTTTTTTTATACTTCACCTCGCCTTCTAACTTCCTTGGCACCCACAAAGCACTTCAGAACCTCCCTGCAGTTTTTAAAAAATGGCTTTCTGTGTGGCTCAGAGGGATGCTGTCCCAGAAACAGGTCCAAAGCTCCCTAGAGTCTTGGGTGGAAATAGTGATGGGGGTCATTTGAGGCCAGAGAAAATGTCATTCTTAGGCCATGACTAAGAATCAAGGGGTCTTAAGGCTTGGTGTGAAAAACACTGCAATTTACAGGAGCCGGACATTATCAGAAACCAGATCCTCTTCCTCCATTCTTAGGAGGTGCATTTACTTCAACAGACAACGCTTTTCAGAGAAGAGATCGAATTAGGAAAAAACAGGATTAGCACAGCAGATCTATGGAGATTTGCAAGGGACTCACCAGGCCAACAATGAGTCGGGAAGGGGGGAAGGGTTACATTTCCAAGCTAGGGGGTGAAGTCAGTAATATGTTCCCAAGGCCACCCTATGTCTATTGTTGGATGAGCTCAATGAAATATTTGGGAGCTGCTGCTATATTTGGGAGCCCTGCTATATTCTGCAGACCAATCTGAATTCTTACATAAAGGGGTGGTCTCTAAAAGGCACATTCCTGCTAAAAACAAGCAAACCATTCCCCCCCAGCCTCCTCTCATGGAAAATAATTTCTGATCTCATTCTGCCACCTTGTGGCAAAAACGCTTCTGAGAATGAGAATAAAAAATGTAGTGTTCCAAGTTTATACACTCACTTAATTTACAAATCCACTCTCCCTTTGTTGGTGTTAAAAAGTTAAGAATGGAGTGGAAGTATTTCGAAGATTATATGTCAAAATATTGTTCTAAAAATGACGTGCTAATAGGCTTAGAATAAAAAATGTAAGCAATAACAAAACCAATAAAGAAAGAAGGAAAAATCAGAATTTAACAAAAAATAATTTATTATAGAATGCAAGGAAAAAGAGGTAGAAAGAAATATAAAGAAGTTGAATTGCTGTGGAGGGAAGTAGAGGGTGGCTGGTGGGTTTTATAATTAAGAGTATAATTACGCAGCTGTTGTACTTTAGATATTATATTTTATGTGAGGGAATCATTGGGAATTTTGGTTATTATCTATACAGTGGTACCTCGGGTTAAGTACTTAATTCGTTCCGGAGGTCTGTACTTAACCTGAAACTGTTCTTAACCTGAAGCACTATTTCTGGGTTAGCGGAGTCTGTAACCTGAAGCGTATGTAACCTGAGGTACCACTGTATATGTTAAGTTTCAATAAAGATTTTTTTGGGGGAAATGTAGTGTTCCAGAACTTCTGTTGTAACTTTGACCTGAACCCCTAAAAAACGGGGGTAGATCACTGCCAGATTTTAATTTTGAAAGTAGATCGCAGTCTCTCGGGAGTTGGCCAGCCCTGTGTTAGTGGATTGGTGATCATTTTAGATGCCTTCCAATGTGATGATTCCAGACGCTGCAAGACTCCCATCAGCCCCAGCCAGCACAGGCCAATGGCCAGGAATGATGGGAGCTGGAGTCTTAATAACTCTGCACTAACTCAGGAGCCGGGCTTCCTATGTGGCTGCCCACTGCCTGCATTTTGCAGAAGCAACTGAAGGGCTTTTCCCAGCTGGATAAATGGGCCTTTTACCAGGGAGTCTACTCAGTTTTATCCTTGCTTTTGCTGTTTCCAAGCTATCTTATATGTAAATCTCCCGGAGAAGATTCTTTTAGGACAATTAAAGAATAAACGATAGTAACATCTGGAGGGCAGCATGTTAGAAACCCCAAAAATGGCCAATGTCGTGTCCCCCCCCTTTGTTGACAGCTTCCTGGGAGGGTGGAATCGGGGTGCCTGCCATCACTGGGGCAAGACCAGATTTGGCAATGTACAAACTCTCATTGCAACCTGTCTTACGTGTTCAGTTGGCAGTGCTGTTACTTTTGGAGTTAAGTGGCACTTGAAGTGCTGTTCAGTAAGCATGAAAGCTTGAGTCTGATTGCAGCCCCCCTCCCCCATTTATCCCTTGAACTCTTGGCCAAGCTACACCCCTCGCTGGCCCTGTTTCACAGCCTGGCTGTTTTCACCTGGTTTGAACACATCCTGGAATTGCAACAAGTGCCTCTTGCTGCGAGTCCCTGTGAGACCTGCTTGGCTGACCTGTTTCCACCAAACCTGGAAGGGCAGGGCCCCAACCAACTCCAGCTACAACAGCTGCTGCTATTGTTCAAAGCGACAGGGACCACCTTACTGCAAATCTGGAAAAGCAGGCTGCCTAGAGCAGACAAAGGCAAACTCGGCCCTCCAGATGTTTTGGGACTACAAATCCCATCACCCTTAGCTAGCAGGACGTGGTCACGGATGATGGGAAGTGTAGTCCCAAAACATCTGGAGGGCCGAGTTTGTCTATGCCTGGGCCTAGAGACTACCAGAGTGGAGCTTTCGTTGGGGCCAGGATTCAACTACAGAGGTATGTTATTGTTGGATGTTATTGGGATTACGCTTTTGCATTTTATTGTTAGATATTATTATGAATTGTAAGGGGATTTTTTTTTAAAGAACATGAGAGCCTGCTGGATCAGGCCAATGGCCAATATAGTCCAGAATACTGCTCTCACGACAACTTGCCCCTATGGGAAGCCCACAAACAGGATCCGAGTGCAAGAGCGATTCTCCCCTCTGGCAATTTCCAACACCTGGTATTCAGACACATTACTGCCTCTAAAAGTGGAAGAACATAACCCTCAGGGTTAGAAGCTGCTGATTGCTATGCTATGAGGATATGGCTGCCATGTGTTCTACCACTGAGCTGCCTATAAGAACACAGGAATAGCCTGGCTACTGGAACAGGCTGGTGGCCTACCTAGACCAGCATCCTATTCTCACAGTGGCCGACTATGTCTGTGAGAAACGCATGAGCAGGACTCAAGCACAAAAACACTCTCCTCTCTTGCGGTTTCCAGCAACTGGTATTCAGAGAAGCATTGGTGCCGCTGGAGGAACAGCAGAATATGATTACTCCTGTCTGAATGGAGGATAAAGAGGGGTGTGCAAGTATAGAAACTAGCCTACTGTACAGAGATAAAATTTACATTAATCGCTCAGTCCATTTTTGCCTCTGGCCCCAACTTCTGCGTGTTGCCCTCGGGAGGCTGTCCAGATGTGAATGTGGCCCTTGGGCTGCAGAAAGGTTCCCTACCCTTGTTGGAAAGGTTTCATGGCCTTTGATGGCCTGACTAAAGGCACATAAGACTGCAATGCACTCCAGTCACTGATTGGGTAATGCAAAGAATCAGATCTACCCTACACCTTCTGGTTATTAAGCACTGTGGCCAGAAAAAAACAGAAAAAGAAAAAAATCCTGCTTGTTGGAAGCAGGTGAGAGGGAAAGGGGGAGTAAGATGAGAGATGCAGAGGAGTGCAGTACCCCCTGGTAGAAGTTTAAAGCCTTTACATGTCTTAGGGCTAGGCCAACCATTATCTGGAAAAGCATTTCCTGATAATTCTTTACAAGTGCTGGGAGAATTCCCACCCCCACCAAAAAAATCATATTCAATTATATGCCCCACCCCGACCTCTTCAGACTATGAATGAAGTAGCTCAGTTGTTCATCCTGCCTTAATAATATTTAGTTTTAATATTGTGGAAGTGAACCCTTGTAGAACTGAGCAAGGAGGATGGGAAGAAAACCAGAATTAGTCAGCTCTGCCCTATTATTGACTCTGGCGCCACCTACTGTTGGTCTCCCTGCCTTCCAGCCTACGAGTCTCAAGGGGCCCCAGTCAACACTGCATTGAGTATGAACCAACAACTGAGCTTAATTCCATGTTAGCAAAGTCAATTTTTTCTCAGGTGAGAACTCTCTTTTTTGGGGGGCACCTCAAAACTATTGAAGAATTCCACTCCTTTCCCCTCCAAATTTCACCACGCGCAAATAGGATGGAGAATTTCTGAGAGGCCATTTTCCACTTCGCCCTGAAAGAAACCTAGGCAGTTGACTTACACCAGGCATAGGCATCACTCCTGACCACTGGTCCTGTAGGCTAGGGATGATGGGAGTTGTAGTCCCAAAACATCTGGAGGGCCGAGTTTGCCTATGCCTGGCTTACACCAAGTCAAGCCAGTGGTTCTCCAGGGTTTTGGACAGGAGACTCTCCCATCCCACTTGGAGATGTTGGAGACTGGACCTGGGACCTTCTGAAGCCACAACATATGCTCTGACCACTGTGATACAACCCTTCCAACACTGTACGTAGAAGGGGTAGGGCTCCTGGATGTTCCTCCATGAAATTGCTCCTTCTTTGGCCCTTTCTATCCTTTGATCCTGACCATTTCTAAAGCTCAGAAGGCCATGACATCAGAACATACCCCACCTCCCCACACCGAGCCTTACCATCTTTTATCGTAGTACAATTTGCCATCTTCTATCCTTGCCTCAAACCGCTGTGCTGGGGATTCGGCAGGCGTGGCCGGCAGGTGTTCTGGTGACGAAGGAGACGCTGGAATAGAAGAGTGAACTCTATACACAGTCTAACCCCTACGTAGCAGCTTACAATTCAGGCAACACTGAGAGATTGCGGGGACCTTAAGCCGACAGTGGGAGGTAAAAGTATTAAGCTTTGTGAGCAGAGCACACAGGCAGAGATCTGGTTTGCCTTGTGCAGGTCTACCTTGCAGAGAGTCAAACCACTGGGCAATCTAGCTCAGCCTTTGACAACCGGGCACCCTCCAGATGTTTTTGGGCTACAACTCCCATCAGCCCCAGCCAGAACAGCTGTGCTAGCTGAAGCTCATGGGAGTTAACATTCCCAAACATCTGAAGAGCACCAGGTTGGCTGAGCTGTTTTGGTGCTCCTCCAGATGTTGGTGAAATTCATCTTCCATCAACCCTGAACACTGACTGGGGCTGATGTGAGCTGTGACTCCAACAGCATCTGACTGCCCATGCCCTGTATTATCTACTTAGATTAAGAGCTGCTCCCCAGGGTTCTCAGAACCCTACAAATGCAGAACCCTACAAACCCTACAAATTCTAGGGATCCAGCATAGCGCAAGGTTTAGAGCGGGGGCAGGGAGCCCAGGGCCCACCAGGTATTTTCTGGACGGCCCATTGTCTCTAACCATCAGGCTATGTTGGCTGAAGTCAATGAGGGTCGCAGTCCAAAATGTCTGCAAGACACAGTTAGGAATGGCTACACTGAACTCTGGCTCCTTCCCAGTTTTGAGTTTCTGTTTTTCCCCTCTGCATAGCTGGGAATTTTGGGGGACCTGTTAGGACTGGGAGATGCCAGAGTTCCAGTCAAAACAGCAAGAGAAAGTTTTTCTGAAAGCAACACTCATCCAAGCATTCTGCTACTTCTCAGCTTTTCAAAGGTCATTATCTATACTCAAATCTGGACCCATTAAAATTATAACCCTATACAGTATATTCTAGCATAAAGCCGTCTACAATAACAATGCAGAAGGCTACTTTAGATCAGGTCAGGTTATTTGATCATCCAGCCCAGTTTTACTTTCTCTGACCAGCAAAAGCTCTTCTGGGTCTCAAGCAGAAGTACTTCCACCATCCCTTACTGCTCAGCATCCTTTTAGCCACAGATGCCGCAGGTTGAGCTTGAGACCTTCTGCCCGAAAGGCAGGGGCTCCACCACTCAGTTACACACCTTCCTATCTCCTAAGCCATTTTTTGAACACACTAGGAAACCTTATTGGGGTGGGGATGCCACTTACCTGGCCGTTTAGGTGATTTAAGCTATAAAAAGGAAAAACAAGAAAGCTGTTTTAGTGATTCCCTACAAGAACATAAATCGGAAGAGAAATAACTGACTTAACAGAACATTTCATGAAGGCCAACATGTCTTCTGAATGGGGATCTTTATTCCCAGCTGGCAAGTTCCAAAGACCTCAGATGCCCACTCCGCAATAACCCACAGCAGGCTTTTAGTGTGGCTGCCTCCACTCTGTGGAGCAGAGAACAGCTGAAGACGTTTTTGTTCCAACAGGTTTCCCCATCTAGATAAATGATGCTTTACCATGAATGTCTGCTTTGCATGGTTTTGGTTCTGCTTTAAATGTATTTGTTGTCTTTGTGTGTTTAACAGCTTTTAATTATTCTTATTGTACACGGTCTTAAGATGGTCATTTTCAAGGAAACTTAAAAATCATTAATAGTAATTAATCTGAATTAGGTTGAAATGATGCTATATATATACAGGCAACTCCCCATTTATGCGGGGGTTATGTTCTGAGGCACCGCTCATTCAAGAGAAATCGCATATATTGGGAACACCATTAAAAAATCAAACACGACAATCATTGTCTCCAAACCTCCTTGCCCAAACTCCAAATCTCCACAGGACTCAAAGATCAGTGCAAGGGCTCCTGGGATTGCACTTGCAAGGGCTATTGGGACTGCTAGACGCTGTTATTGCACCATTTTTGCACTCTTTTAGGGCTGTTTTTGCCACTTCCGGGTTCATGGGGATACGGGTGCACATTGAACGTGTGTAAATGGGGAGTTGCCTGTAGAATCATAGAATCATAGAGTTGGAAGAGACCACAAGGGCCATCGAGTCCAACCCCCTGCCAAGCAGGAAACACCATCAGAGCACTCCTGACATATGGTTGTCAAGCCTCTGCTTAAAGACCTCCAAAGAAGGAGACTCCACCACACTCCTTGGCAGCAAATTCCACTGTCGAACAGCTCTTACTGTCAGGAAGTTCTTCCTAATGTTTAGGTGGAATCTTCTTTCATGTAGTTTGGATCCATTGCTCCGTGTCCGCTTCTCTGGAGCAGCAGAAGACAACCTTTCTCCCTCCTCTATGTGACATCCTTTTATATATTTGAACATGGCTATCATATCACCCCTTAACCTCCTCTTCTCCAGGCTAAACATGCCCAGCTCCCTTAGCCGTTCCTCATAAGGCATCGTTTCCAGGCCTTTGACCATTTTGGTTGCCCTCCTCTAGACACGTTCCAGTTTGTCAGTGTCCTTCTTGAACTGTGGTGCCCAGAACCGGACACAGTACTCCAGGTGTGGTCTGACCAGAGCAGAATACAGTGGCACTATTACTTCCCTTGATCTAGATGCTATACTCCTATTGATGCAGCCCAGAATTGCATTGACTTTTTTAGCTGCCGCGTCACACTGTTGGCTCATGTAGCACATACACACACTTGCTTTTTAAAAATAATGTTTTTAGATGTGCAACTCATGTTTGTAACTTTTGCAGATTTTTGTATTAGGTTGTAAATCACTTCAGAATGCCTCATGGGAAGCAATTCAAGTAAACTAATAATCTATTCTGATTGGCATCATGACTAGTGTTATTTCATTTTGGGCTGCAAATCTTTGGATACATTTATTTATTAAAATGATTTTTATGCCACCCTCTCACAAAATATCAGCACAGTTTTCACTAACACAGAACATTTTTAAAAATGAATGTAGTACAGAATTAATATCAGTACAGTGGTACCTCCGGTTGCGTATGGGATCCGTTCCGGAGGTCCAGCTGGATCCTGAGGTTTTCACAACTGGAGAGACCACTTCAGCAGTAGAGCGCTTCTGCGCATGTGGCAAAACCCCGGAAAAATGCTTCCAGGTTTGCTGCTTACGCATCCCGAAGTTTTCATAACCAGAGGGATACGTAAGCAGAGGTACCACTGTATATTATTAATATTCTAATATTAATTCAGTAGTGCATTTAATTTTTTTAAAATGTTCTACCTCTGGTAATATGCCTCACTAATCCACCAGCCAGTCATGCTCAGTCTAAGCTACAGCGACTCTCTACCCCTAAGGACAGGGTTTGGGGCAGGCTGACTGTAGCCAGAAAGCCTCCTGTCTACTGGCTTCTACAATTGCCTTTAAAGTCTCTGCCCAGAATTTCTGGCTCCTTCTACATTTTAGGTCTTAGGGGGCTCTCTGGTACCCATTTTTTCTTGGGAACCGAGAAAAACCAAGAGCTGTGAGCAGTGTTCGGCAGCACTGATGTCGAGATACGACAGGGGATACTGGCCTGCTCTTCTGACAATCAAGAGATAATGTCCATTCACCTTGGACATTCTCTTTAGCAACTCTTGGGACTCAGGCTGAGGCCACAACCCTCTCTGTCCTTGCTTTGCAGCCTTCTCAAGTGTTTTACCTGACTAGTACACGTCCTTCAACTGAGATTATGCTTCTTGCTTGTCAGGATGGAGGGTGGAGAGGGGCATGTGAGCTTGCATAGAAACTAGTCTACTGTACTGTTCCAAAATTTACATTCATTGCTCCGCCCACTTTTGCCTCTGACCACGCCCACCACTGGAATATGCCACCACCTCCCACCCCCAAAGTTTGCCCAGAAAGGAATGTGGCCCTGAGAGCCAGTGTGGAGCAATGGTTAAGTGTCAGGCTAGGACCTGGGGCAACAGGGTTCAAATCCCCACTCAGCCATGAAGCTCATTGGGTGACAATAGGCCAATCACTCTCTCTCAGCCCAACCTCCCTCCCAGGGTTTTTGTTGGGATTAAAGAGGGGGAGAACCATGTAAGCCATCTTGAGTGCCATGGAGAAAAAGGAGGGGTTTGTCTGAATAAATGAATAAAGGTTAATCACACCCAATCTACACTAAGCACTTACCTTATTGAGAATCCTCAGATCCTCCATTATCTGTTCGTCTGTTAGCAAGTAATTTAGCTGAGGTAATCCAAATTAAGGGGGAAGTAACTTTGGAACCATGTACAAAAATGCGGCTTGAATCTCCTGGGCAGAATTTAGCCCAGGAGCGACACCCCTCTTTGTGGCTACTTCTGGGTCTCTCCTTTGCAGGGCATATTGCAGACAGAAGCTTCACTTGCCATGGCAGGCGAACTATTAAGCAGGCAAAGGCCGACTCTGGAAGCTAGCACTATATGGAACGGTTCCCAGGGGCAGAACCCCAGGAAAGCCCCTTCACCTTGAAGCTGGACTGAGCCAAGCAGGTGTGGAAGGGACTTGTCCCAGTGAACAGAACCAAGCAAAGGCCCTGCTCTGAAACAAAAGGGAGGAGCAACGGTGCCCCGGGATAACCTCCACCACTAAAGGAGGACTGAGTTGCCACCTAGATGCTTTCATGGAAAGACTATTGGGAGAAACTGATCACAAGAGCACTCTCCCCTCCTATGGCTTCCACCAACCGGCCTTCAGAAGTTCACTGCCTCCGACTGCGGAGGCAGAGCATAGCAGCCACTGATACCCAATCTACCTTCTGCCCACCCATTTGGAGAGGAACATAGGAAGCTGTCTTACAGTGGGCCAAGCTAATGTCCTCCAAGCCTAGCGTTGCCTGCTCCGACTGGCATCAGCTCTCCATAATTTCAGACAGAGCATCTTTCCCCCATCACCTGCTACTTAATGCTCATTAACTAGACATGTCAGAGGCTGAACTTGGGATCTCCAGCATAAAGAGCTATGGTGCAATGGCCAGGCGCATTGGGCCTTGCTGATTGTCAGCCAATACGCTGTGCAGCCGCACATCGCAGGGGAAGATTTGCCAACCGATAAGCTCTCTTTTCAAGGAAAGCTTGTGCACCTACAGCAAAAGCTGGATCATGGGCTGTGGCGGATCAGGTAGCTGGTCAAAGGATATCAGGGGCTGGCTTCCGCCTTTTGTCAGGGATGGGAACGGGGTCGTTTGGCCGCCTCCGCAATTTCCTTGTCATGATGGGCTTCACTTCCATGGAGTCTGAAGAAAGAAGGACAGTTTTTTTCGTAAGGTCCACAGATTGATTTTTAAAAAGCAGAGCAAGAGAAAAAAGAACTGTGCTTTTCCACATTAATCTTTTCCTTTGGGGGGGGGCTCTTTCTTTCATGCAAAGACTCAGCCTGTGACTCTGCCCCTAATTTGAGAAATATACAAGTGTATCCTTAATTTTACTCACTAAATAGTACCTACAAACTGTATGCATGGTGCAAACGCGCAATCGGGATTCAGTGGTAAAAGCTGTAATCCTATGCTGTTAGTAAAATTCCAATGAAATGAGCGGCATTTGCTTTTGAGTAAGCAGGCTTAGGGACACAGGTCACTGCTTTCTAATCAGAGTCTTCTAGCTCATTAAAATGCCTTCTCTTCACTGACAGCAGCTTCTGTAAGAACACCAGAAGTTACCTTATACAAAGTCAGGCCATTGGCCCATCTAACTCAGTAATATCTACTGTGAGCAGCCGCGGCCGTCCAGGGTTTGAGACAGGGAGTCATTTCCCAGCCCTACCTGGAGATGCCAGGGATTGAACCTGGGGACTTCTGCATGCAAAGAACATGCTCTACCACTGAGCCACAGTCCCTGTCCCTGTGTTTAGAGAGGCATTTCCCCTTCTCTCACCTAATTCATCCAATAATGCATTTTCCTCTAGCTCCAGGCAGAAGTAGGTTTACAATGCCAACAGCTACCTGATCCTTTTTTAACTAAAGATACCAGGGACTGAACTTCTGGTTACAAAGCATTTGCTCCATTGCTGAGATATTGATTGACTGATTCATTTATAAGATTTCTTACCTGCCCTTCACCGTAAGCTCCCTAGGCAGATTACGACAATATAATTGTACAGTTATATGGCCTCTGCCCCAAAGAGAGATGCTGGCTTTATTTTATTATTTTGTATTTACCTCCTGTTAGCTCCATAGTTAGCTTCTCGCTCTCTATCATTTTCTTCTTCTCTTCCAACTCGGCAATCAAGTTTTCCTTGAGTTCGATTTTTTTATCTTCAAATTCTTTCACGGCCGCTTTCTTCTCCTTGATGTAGTTCCGTTCCACCTGCTCTGTCTGCGCCAAGCCCAAAAGAAAACAGGGACTCATCTACAGGGCAGAACCACATCAGGTACGCATAGGGGCTGATAGGGGAACCACTGTGCTCGGGGTCACCAGACTGAGAAGCTGCGGAGTCGGAAGTTACACCTGACAAATGACACAGGCTTTCCCAAACTGTGCAATGAAACTGCTCATATGACTTGTCACCATACAGAAAGCAAGTATGAGCCCTGATTGGTAAGGTCAAAGGTCCATCTATCCCAGCATCTGTAAAGTTGGATACATGGCTCCCTACCTTCTTTAGGAACCTGTGGCCCTCTTAATTGTTAAGTATCAGGCAGCCTCACTTGAGTGGAATTTTCTCCCTTTCACAAGTATATGGTGCCTGCCTGTTTTAAAACACAATTTACAAGTGTGCTGCAAAACCAATGGCACAACCTAATAAAGGATGGAAATAACTATTCTCAAATGACTTGGGATTCATGCACCCTCAGTACTGAGCTTCTCCTCAGGGCAAGAAAGAGGTCAATCACAATTTGCAGAATAGTTTGAACATTCTACAGCAAAGGAAAGGAAGTTCTACTCATAATGACTGAAAAAGGGAACAGAATACATTAATGAAACCCGACCAACAGAAAAGGAAACACACACACACACATATATACACACACTTACTTCCAGCTGGAGAAAAAGCTCTGAAAGAAAAATAAAATAAGTTACTTTTTTTTGCTGAACTAAGCACATTTAACTCTAGCAAGATCTCAGAGTGGTTAGCCTAGAGTGAAAATTTTGATGACGGCAAGCTACAGGCCGCTAAGACAGGCTGCAAAACCAGCCCTTGCAAGTATTTCTGCTTGCACCAGATTAATCTTCATCAGTAGCTGCACTGACAAAGTAACTAGACATTTGGTGCAACGTATACCAAACAATTCCTGTCTTAGATAGCCAACACTTAAGTTTGCAACCCTATAGCTGGGAAGAAGTCTCATCGAACTGAAGGAGATTTACTGTATTTTTTGCTCTATAAGACTCACTTTTTCCCTCCTAAAAAGTAAGGGGAAATGTGTGTGCATCTTATGGAGCGAATGCAGGCTGCGCAGTTATCCCAGAAGCCAGAACAGCAAGAGGGATTGCTGCTTTCAGTGCGTAGCGATCCTTCTTGCTGTTCTGGCTTCTGAGATTCAGAATATTTTTCCCCCTGAAATTATTTATAAAAATGTGTGTCTAGGATCAGAATCAACTCAAGAAGGGGCACTGTAAAGATCAACAAATGAATTATGGCACAAATTCTGTAGACTATAGCCAATTTCTTCAGATACATCTGTAGGTCCATTTAAGTGTGAACACCTCATTTAGGCGGTCTTGACACCTTCCAGAACTGGTTGAACAGCATTTACATATGGAAATGAACGGTCTGGAGAAGTGCCCTGTAGTCCACTGAAAGCCTATGCCACAATAAATGTATTAATCTCCAAGGTGCTTCAGGCGGTTGTTTTTGCTGCAATAGACAAACACGGCTAACCCTGTGGAAAGTTTTTAGAATGAGATTGCGACACACACAAGTAAGATCACCCAAAAGCACTGAGCAGGGTTTCAAGCATGATTATCATGTACTTGTCTAGGCCTAGATCAGATATCCTCAAGCAAGTCACCAGAAATGCAGTTCGCTCACCCGCATTGCGTATCCTTTCCTTGTATTGCTGATCCAGCTTTTTCATCCTTTTCTGATATTCTTGCAAAGTACCTATTAAAACCATACAAAATTAACACACTGAAATCAATAGATTAAAATATAGAATGATAGAGCTGGACGGAACGTCAAAGGCCAACCCCTCCCGCTGCAACAAAATGGGACAGTGCCATAATACTGTTGAAAAGGACTCTACACAGTTTTTCTCACTATCAAGCTATCAGTGCCTGATCTGACCTAGGGCCCAGGATTTGTGACAGAGGTCATTGCTCCTGTTATTTCACAAAAGTGTCTGTACACAGCTTGAATCACGCAGTTTATATCTCAAAGCAGAAGAGATTTTTGTTTGTACAGTATACCTCCAAGTTTCATTTTTTTTTAAAAAGACCATTCCCTTCACCAATTTTACCACCACCTATTCTGAGCAGTCCTACCTCAACCTGATGCTTAAAAATTACAGATCAAGCTTAAAAAAAAATTCTTTCCACAAGTAATAAGCCACTGCCAAAGAAGCAACATCATATTGTTCAGATGAAATAAAAGAGTTTGGGCTACTTTCTAGCCCTTAAAGGAGAAGAGCAGGCACAAAATTTACATCACTGGTGCATCTCCCCATTCCCAGTGTCCATTTAAGTAAAATTATACAGTACTGGTGCTAAGAAGTACAGATGAGAAGTGGACACATCCAGTTTAGGAAAAGCCACTTCTCCATTCTGCTTTGTGCTTAGTAGAAATAAAAGTCAACTGACTGTCCCAAATTAAGGTAAAGTGATACATTTAAAAGGTCAGGGTATGTGTAATGCCCATTTGTGGATTGTTCTCCCCAGGTGATGCTTGCCTGACACCTTCATTACATATCTTTAGGTGCCAGGTGAAGATGTTTTTCTTCAGCCAGCTATTCAGCTAATTAACATTTGAAGGCTTTTTAAATATGTTTGTGAGAGAAGGGGTTACTGACTTGGTCTTCTTTATGTTTTATTATGTATTTTTTATTCTCATTTTAAATTTTGTTGTTGTTGTGAACTGCCCTGGAATCTTCACATGAAAGACAGTATACAAATTTAATAAATAAGATTAATAACACACTATTAAAGCAAAATTCAATAAAGTAATAGTAGTAGTAGTAGTAATAATAATGCTACACTATTAAGGCAACACTCAATACATTCCAGGTTCTGTTTTTCAGATAATCCAACCAGCAATATATTAAGAGTGGATTTTTTGATTTATTTATTTTTCGTTACTTGAAAAACATGAAAAGTTGTGATGCCTGCATGCAAGTACTGAAATCTCAAAATGAGAACCATCACAACACTGGTCCGGAAAGATTCAGCACTATGCCAAATCAGGGAAGATTCCCCAATTGCACTGCATGAAAATGACAGGAGACCCTAACTCAATGACAGAGCACATGCTTTGCATGTAGAAGATTTCGGGTTCAATCCTTGCCATCTCCAATGAAATGATTAGGCAGCAGGTAGCAGACAAATCTGGGCTGGATGGGCATACGTAGAGATCTGGCATAAGGCATCTTTCTATATTCCGAATGCACCAGAAAGTCTGATTTAAGAGAACTCCAAAACATTTTATCCTCCATAGTCGGAGACAGTAGTGCCTCTGAATACCAGTTGCCAGAAACTGTAGAAGGGGAGAGTGCTCTTGTTGCTGGTTTCCCCGCAGGCATACGGTTGGCCACTGTGGAAACAGGATGCTGGACTAAATGGGCTATTGGCCTAATTCTCAGGGCTCTTTTGATGTTATGTTTTTATTTGATCTGGGTATTAAATGTAAAGCCTGCTGTTCTCGTGAATAAATGTCATGTCATGCTTTTTAAACCATACCTTCTTGCAGTTGCTGCAGCTGCCTCTTAAGAGATGCCAATTTATCCTGATACATCCTGCAAAGAGAATACATATTATAATGAAGGAACCCCAGTGAACAAAAAGTGCTGGTTTTACTTTCCTATTCAATTGATTCTTTCCATTGCTAAATTTCTATTATATTGTTCAAGTAGAGCTGAAGTGAAGGAGCAATAAAAGTTTGCTATTTTTTTTAAAAAAAGAAGAACACCAAGATCTTGATACATGAAAGTATCATCCTCCTCTTCTACCTTTCCTAGCCCAAACTGCAGAACTTTCTACCTCAAAGGCATTTGATCACAGAGGGCCAGATAATAAAATTTAGTTGCTTGGGCCACAACAGCATCTAATCTTTATTCCAGAGGGTATTGTCCAGGCAAAATGTCACAAGACGTCTAACTGCAGAAAAGATAATGTTATGAAAGGCAGAAATTAAGAAGCATCAACTAACCCAGCACTTAAGAAAATAAAGAGTCAGGAGCGTAAAGCCATTACATATCTAGAAGGCACATACATTGTCCAAACAAAGTCCCACTGATATACTTAAAGTTCAGCAGAAACGTTAAACTTTGTTCATATGCAATGCAGAACCAGTGTGAAGTCAGTTTGCTTTCAGTAAGAGTTGTTGAGATTAACAATTGATTCAGGTTTGGACCACATGGTAAACTGTGGTTGTTCAAAAACAGAAGCTTCTCATCTCCTTGCAACTGCACCGGAGGTGGTGGGGCAGGAGGCCCATGAGTTTGAGGTCTGCTCTCGAAACACTAAACCAGTCTTCCCTACCCTGGTGCCCTGCAGCTGTTTTGGACCACTACTCCCATGAGGCATGGACAAGGGTCAGAGATGATGGAAGCTGTGGTCCAAAACAGCCAGCAGGGAGGGGCCAGGTTAGGGGGAAGCCTGCATTAGATGGAAGTAAGACGTACAGGACTATCAAGGGAAGAATTTTTCTAAGCTCAAGGTACGAATTCTTTTAACTCAGGCCTCTTCTGTGCTGCTGATTTCCGTTATTCTGACATTAGGTTTTATGTTATTATTTTAATTGTGACCTTTTTCTAACCCACCCTGGCACCATTTGGTGAAGGGTGGGCTATAAGGAAAAATAACAACAACTGCTGCAAACAGCTCTTTGATTTAGGGAAATGTGATGTGAATTTCAATCTTTTTGTCTTAATACTTTTGCACTTTTGCCCCACCAACATACGTTCAAAACTCCCTCCCTTTGAGCTGGGATATTACTCATACGAAAGAGGCATCAAAATATATCTGTAACCTGGAGAATACTTACTGCTCCTTCATTTCTACATAATCCTCCTCATTGTGCTTGGCCAGATCAGTTTCACTTGCATCTTCGGTATCTAAGGAAACAGGAACATCAGCGAGTGTCAGAGCAGTGCCAATCAGTACGTTTTTTTGTTCAAGCATTCCCCACTCAGCAGCAGAAACAAACACCACTGAGGTACAAAAAAGAACTGTACACTTAAAAAAACTAAACGCACAAGAGAGCAAGCTCATTCAAAACAACTGTGCCATTTCTTATTGTTGTGTTATCCAGACCTCTATGCTATAAAGGCAGGAACGTGATTATGTACCACAGTTCCCACCAGACAGCATAACAAGATTCTTAGCAGCTGTGTCTGTCAATTTCCTTCCAATATTCATTCCATGCAAACTCTCTGATCTCAACACAGTTCTCCAGTATCCCACTGGCTTTAACACAGTGCCCCCCTCCCCTTCTCCTGCCTCCCCACAGGCCTCTGTTCAGTGCCTCCATTGCTTTTGGTAATTACTGGAAAAATTACTACTGGCACATCCAAGACCTTTAAGAGGAACAGGCACGTTCCTCTTAATAAAAGCCTCCTCAAGCATCACTGCAAGGCAGGGTGCAAATGTATCAAATTAAACATGACAATAGAATGTAGGAGGCTGCCTTATCCAGGGGCTGACCATTGGTTTGTCTTAATTCACTATAACCTGCCCTACACAGATTGGCAGAAAATCTCCACAAACTCAAGATGTTGAGAAGTGAACTTGACAACTTTTGCATACAAAGCCTGAGTTCTGCCATGGAACCACAGCCCTTCTGACTTACGGCAAAGTAATTATGCATATGAAGAAATTCACTGAAGCAGAGTAAACATTACCCTCTTCAAGTTAGGAGGAGAAGAAAAAAGCTGCAACCCTAAACTAACTTCTTTGAAAGAAAATCCTATAGAAACAAATACTTTTACTGCCAAGTAAACATACGCTACAGATTGGTCATGAGATGTTTTCTTTTCTGACATCTGACTGCCATTCTTCAGAGCCTTCTTTTTTAAACTATCCATGCTCTCACAGTAAAATTCCAGAAGTTAACATTTTAAGTTGGGCTGTAAGTTTATATAAAACGCCTGTTGCTCAACACAGACCAGGCAATTGATAAAAACAGATCAATAAACAATGTTAATCTGTTTTAGTGTTTTAACTTTTGCATGCTTTAAAGCATGGTTGTACATTTTTCTTGATTTTGCTGTTTTCTGTAAACTGCTCTGAGGTTGTTGTTTTTTTACAATCAAGCGAGCAGTGTATGCATTTTGTGAAATAAATAGGTAAAATGAAAAGCAGTGGGAGAAGTACCACACTTAACTGGGTTCTGGACTTGCAACATGCTTTCTCACATACATTTCTAGATAAGTAACAGGAAATCCTATGTGTGTTTACTCAGAAGCTAATATGAATACTTCCTGTGACCAGCATTAAACCCCACTGAGCACCATAATAAGAGTGCTGTGTGAAGAGCAGAACATCCCTCCTTTAAAACTTGGTACAATAGTTTGGCAACTAGCCTTGGAAGAAAAATTGACCCAGGAGAGGAGAAAGACATGTGGATTTGGTATCCTTCTACAGTACTCAATTTGTTAACAAAAGTGACAAAGTGATTTTCTCCATTTTTTGTATGAGGTTCTCCCTTTCCCCACACGCTCCTTTGAAGTCCCAGACAAACTAGATGCACCCTAAAACTTACTTTTTTCTTTCTTCATTACTTCCACCTATGTAAAGAATGACACTGTTGTTGTAAATTGAATGTTCTGTTGCAAATGACTATATATTAAAAGGATTGCTCTGCAAATGTGTACATTTACTCACAAGTTAGCCACCTGCAACTGAAGTCACATCCACAGCATACATTTTACACAACAATTATACCAATGGGCGATGAATCCTGAAGTGTTTTAATTAACAAAATTTCTCTTTTGATTTAGCTAAACCCTTCCATACGGATCGCTGGCTAAAAAAGGGGCGGGGTTGGAAAATACAATTATTACTACCATTATTTTAAGATTTTTGAAATTTTTTCTTTGTAGTGTGCATGCATAGTTTTTGCTATATATTAATAAATTAATACCATATATTGCATTTGCTCTAGCCTAAATAAAACAGTATTAAAACTACCTCCAAATTGTCTTCACCCAAGAAGGGGGCACTCCGGTAAGACTAAATCCTCAAAAAGGGCATGGAATTATTTTGAGTCTGGGAAACAATGAACTAAAGCAAAACAGTCCCTGCCTGAAGGCTTACGATCTTTCCTTTTTTAAAGGCACACCAGGGGAAAGCGACAGGGAGGGAAGGCGGGGGATCTAACTCAGGCAATAATATTTGAACAGTTGTCCATACAATGACCAGGTGTCAGTCAGTCAGCCTCTGGGCTCGTAAACTTCGATGGGGTCTACTCGTAGGTAAGACTGGACGGGTGGCTACAATACCCACGTGCTTCGTGACTCGGAAGTCCCCGACAGTTAGTTTCCCTCCCGAGAAGAACGGATCGGGGCCGCCGTGAGGTGGTCCCCTCGCAACCAGCGCAGAGTCTGCCTGATGAGCAGAGCGCCGAGCTCCACGGGCCCCCGTGAACCACGCGCATGAATTCCAACGGGCCTACTCGCGAGCAAGACTCAACTCTTGCGCGCTCCTCACCCCCCGCCCCCGCCGGCTCGGGAATCAGCCCCCAGCAGAAACGGGCGGCGGGTTACTCCCGGGAAAAGCTGCTCGGCGGCGCCTCGAGGCCTCCGCGAAGGCGGGTGGAGGCGGGTCGGGGGGCGGGCAGGCAGGCAGGCAAGCAGGCGGCTCACCCTCGTCTGAATCCCGCGCGCGGCCGCTGCGCTCCCCGTCCTCCTCGTCGGCGGGGCTGTCCAGCTCCTCATCCTCAAAGCTCTCGGCGGCTGCGGCGGCGGCAGCTGCAGCGGCGGCGATAGCAGCGGCGGCGGCGGGGCCCGTCCCGGCGGGCAGCACGGCGGCGGCAGAAGCCGGAGGCCCCGGCGGGAGCGCGGGAGAAACCAGCGCGGCGACGCTCATGGCCGAAGCGGGAAAACGCCGACCCACCGCCGCCGAAGCCACCGCGGACGATCCGGTCGCCTCCTCCTCCTCCTTTTTTCTTCTTCTTAACTCCCCCCTCAGACAAGCCGCGAGCGGCCCCGCCTCCCGCGCGCAGGCGCGCTAGAACCACTTCCGGGCCCTGGTTGAGCTGGGTGAATAGGCGGATTGGCGGGAGGCTGGCTTGCCGTTCGTTTCGCTCCGCGGTTTGGACCCCCTTTCTACCCGTAGGCGCGAGGAATGGCGCCTTCAACCATAGACCGATGTAGGGTTAGACTCAACTCGCTGCCAAGCGTTTCCAGGTTCGCTTCTTGGCCCCACCCCACTTTTGTGAACAGCTTATTGTATAGATGTGTGGAATTGCTGTCAACTCGGGTCTGCTTCCGCCTGCGCGCCCCTTCCACTCTCCGCAGAGACTTTCTTAAAGGGACTGCTTTTAAAAGGATGTGTGTGTGGATCCATGTAAGTCAGGGTTGCCATATTTCAAAAAGTAACATTCCTGATACGTGCAAAGTTGTTGAGCTTTTTTTTCTTGGAACCCAAATGGTTGAGCTTTTTTGTGGATACCTCCCCCCAAAATAGTGATTTTAAGCTTTTGGGTGCTTTTTCCATAGCGTTGCTATATGTCCAGGTTTTCTGCCAATTCTTTGGAGTGCAATTTTTACGCCCCAAAACCAAAACGTCAGGAATTTTTCTGACTTATGGCAAACCTAATATATGTGCGTATTTTAAGGGCAGGTGGTTGAACTTGCTATTTCCTCTTCCCTCCCATCCCTTTATTTCTTGTGTGCTACGTCTTTTTAGACTGTGGTCCTTTTTCTCTTTCTGTTAGTACTTATTTTTGTGAATTGCTCTGGCAGCCTCTTTAGCTAAGGGCTGGATAATAATTGCCAGAAATAACTACTGGGTCAGTAGTAGATTCTGAAGTGCACACACTCTTCCTGACAACCCCATAGCTATTCCCCTTTCGAAATGATGCAACAAAAATTATATTTTTTTACCAATCCAAACATTATGGCTTCAAGCCAGCTTTTTTCTCACCTCCCACCATCTAGTTTTTCTCAGTACCCAATCTGATGAAGTGTTCTGTTGGATGCAGAAGCTTGCATACAACCCAGTGAGATGGGTGGGGTATAAATATTATTATTATTACTACTGTGTTATATTTATATGTACATGTATACAATAGGAGCTGCAGGAAGCAACTGGTAGCAAAGGAAATCTTGCCTCCATCACAGGTTCAGCAAGTTCTAGCTCATCATCCAATGCCCTTGTACTAGAGGTCCTCAACAGGAGGCAGTTTGGTGGCAAACACAACAGGGAGAGGTGGGGGAAGAGGGCATTTAAAATTTCATCCTTTGTGTTGTCTCTGCCACAGAGCACTATCTGAGACTTTAAAGAAGCACCTGCAATTGGACATTGACATATATTCCAGGATACAAGCCTGCTTTTGGAGGGTGTAACTGGAAGGGCCACTTCATATTTGTCATCATCTTTTTAGACCATGGTGAACAGGTGTGCCTATCCTAAAGGCAGAAGTTATTTCTTGCTCCTTCTTTTCTTAAGAACCTTTGATGCAGAGCATATGCTTTGCATGCAGAAGGTCTGTTGGGACATGATACAAGTTTATAAAATTATGCATGCCATGGAGAAAGTGGCTCTCATAGCACTAGAATCCATGGACATCTTATGAAGCTGAATGCTGGAAGATTCAAGACCAATAAAGTACTTCAGTTAAATGATGGAACTTGCTCCCACAGGAGGCAGCGATGTGATGACCATTAACTTGGACAGCTTTAAAACAGGATTTGAATTTTAAGCAGAAGGCTCTCAATGCCTACTAGCCACGACAGCTATGCTCTAGTTCCAGAGCTGGTGGCAGGAATTCTTTTGAAAGCCAATTTCTATAAATCACAGGAGAGGAGCATGCTTTTGTGTTTGGACCCTGCTTGCAGGTTTCCTACAGGCATCTTGTTGGCCGCTGTGAGAACAGATTGCTGGGTTGCAGGCAGGGGACATTCCCCAGCCCTACCTGAAGATGCTAGAGATTGCACCTAGGACATGAAAACATGCTGGATCAGGCCAATGGCCCATCTAGTGTTCTTCTTCGGCGATCATTCGTAGCCGAGTAAAATTGTCTTCCATAAACACGGTTTTAACAATGAGTCCGTAAGTGGCTGTGGAGGCCAATTCTGGATCCATGTGTCCTTCCACAGTGGGAACATTGGTTTCTGGGCGGGAGCTGGTCACGGTGTGGATTAGCCAAGCGTGCCTTCCTCTTAGCATGTTTCTCCCTTGCGTCCTGAGTTTGAGTGTCTTCAAAGTCCATGACACCTTTGGTAAAAGCTGTTCTCCAACCGTAGCGCTCACAGGGCAGCGTTTCCTAGTTGTCAGTGTTTATACTACATTTATTTTTACCTTTACCATCTAGTGTAGCACCCTGTTCTCACAGTGGCCAGCCATATTTCTATAACAAACCTGCAAGCAGGACCCAAGCACAGGAGAACACTCCTCTCCTATACTCTTTGGTCCATCTCGTTCCATATTGTCTTCTGCCAGTCAGTGTAGAAGACAATATGGAGTGAGATGGATCAATGATCTGACTCAGTATAACAGCTTATGTTTTAAGAAATCCAGGGGGCTTTCCAGTTAATATCTTCTTAATGTGTTTTTTCAGTGTTTCTTAAACAAAACGTACAAGCTGCTTTGACTACATGTTTGTGTGTATGTATAATATATATGTACTTCCACATTTAGAAATATACCCATTTTAGCTGAATTTGCAAGATACTACTGTTGCAAAACTGATATTTTAGTACAAACACAGGACCCCATTCTATATTTTGCTGGAAGCTACCCAGAGTGGGTGGGGAAACCCAGCCAGATGGGTGGGAGGAGGAGAAGAAGAAGAAGAAGAAGAAGAAGAAGAAGAAGAAGAATTCAGCAAAGTGGCTATGCTCAGACAGGAAGCTAGAGTTAAGTCACATTCTGAAGAGCTAACACACTGGTTACAAAAAAATACATGCAGTTTATCTTCTTCTATCCCAGGAACTATTTATTTATATTATTTCCTATATCTTTATCATTTTATTGCAAGAAGAAAACCTTACAGCAAGTTTGCAGGGAACTTTTAAGAGTAGTGAAAAGTGATGCATAAGTCTTAGGAGGTTTGCAGCCTACAGTGTCAGTATTTAATTAGAGCCAGTGTGGTGTAGTGGTTAAAGTGTTGGACTAAAACCTGGGAGGACAGGTTTCAAATCCCACTCAGCCATGAAACTCACTGGGTGACCTTGGGCCAATCACTAGCTTTTGCCCTAGCTTTCCTCATGGGGCTGTTGTGAGGATAAAATAAGGCAGGGAATAACCATGCACACCACTTTGAGTGGGTTACTAGACATCCCGTTCCCGGGGACAGTCCCCGGATTTGCAAATCTGTTCCCAGACAAATTCCATCCCCGGAATGTCCCCCGATTTGCAAATCTGTCTTCGGGAAACATGGCGGCTGCAGGCTCAGCAGCCCAGAGCCAGCGACTCCCAAGCCTCCCCCATCAGTCAAAACAAAGGGGGAAGGGGGCAGGAGATGGGGGAGGCTCGGGAGTCGCTGGCGCGCCGTTGTCCAGTTTTTTAAATCTCATAGCATTTTTGTTTCACAGGGTGTGAAAGAAGGGCTTTGCACCTTTATATAATATGCATGTGTGCTTGGACCCAGGGGCCTCACCATCCCCACTACAGACTCCCTGTTGCTAGGTAAAGGTAAAGGGGCCCCTGACCATTAGCTCCAGTCGTGACCGACTCTGGGGTTGCGGCGCTCATCTTGCTTTATTGGCCGAGGGAGCCGGTGTACAGCTTCCGGGTCATGTGGCCAGCATGACTAAGCCGCTTCTGGCGAACCAGAGCAGCGCACGGAAATGCCATTTACCTTCCCGCCAGAGTGGTACCTATTTATCTACTTGCACTTTGACATGCTTTCGAACTGCTAGGTTGGCAGGAGCAGGGACCAAGCAACGGGAGCTCACCCCATTGCGGGAATTCGAACCGCCGACCTTCTGATCGGCAAGTCCTAGGCTCTGTGGTTTAACCCACAGCACCACCCACGTCCCTGTTGCTACTCAGCTTAAAAAAAAAAAAAAGGTCACTGGATTCATTGAAAAAAATCTGGTAACCATAATCCTTGAGCTCCCTAGAGGAAACGTGGGGTGGATATACAGTGTGTGTGTGTGTATATATATATATATATATACACACACACACACACACACACACACACACTGTATATCCGTCCCACGTTTCCTCTAGGGATAGTGTGTGTGTGTGTGTGTGTGTGTGTGTGTGTGTGTATATATATATATATATGTGTGTGTGTGTGTGTATATATATATATATATACACACACACACACACACACACACACACACACAGAGTATATAATAAATAAATCCTAAACCAGTTCAATTCTTCCCAGCCCACCCTCAGCCCCCTCTCAAACGCAACCAACCGCTATTGCCCGGCCCACGGGAAAGAACTCTCCATTCCCCTCTACTGGAATGCGGAAGTCCGTTCCAGATCCTCATTGGCCCTCCGCCGGCCCTGCTCCTCCCCTTCCCCGCCCCCACGAGGAGGGTAGGCCGAACGAGCCGACGGCCGACGACGCGAGCCCGACGACTGCGAAGGCGACGAGGCCAGGCTCACCCCGAGGTCGGCCAGGCTGCGTAGCCGAGCGCCGAGGCGATCGAACGCGGTTGGCCGCGCCTGACGAGAGGAGCACGAACCGCACCTCAGGCGGAGAAGCGGTGACGGCAGCGGCGGGAGCAGGAGCCGAGCGAGGTGGGTTGAAGCGCGCCGGTCGCCCCGTCCCTTTCTCTCCCCCCGCACCCGCTCAGGCTGGGGTTGGCTCAGCGGGGGTTGCCGGGGCCGGAGGGCGCCGAAGAACTTTTCCCCGTCCGGAGGAGTCGGGCTCTCTTGACCGGGGAGAGCTGCTTATTTCCCCTCAGGCGTCGGTGGCAGCGGGCGGGGAGGAAGCCTGAGGGGGCGAGGAAGAGAGTCGGGCGTGGAGGAGAAGCTGAGGGGGAAGAGAAGCGCTTCCCCCGAGTAATGGGGGGGGGGACCCCGCACCTCTTTCTCCCCCCCCCATTATCGGGGAGGAAAGTCTTCCGAGGGGGTGGAAGTGAAAGCAGCAGCAGCAGCAGCGGACAACCGGACTCTGAGGGGAGTTTAGAAAAGAAGCGCTTCGGGAGGGGGAAAGGAGGCAGCTGTGGAGAAACGACGTGGAGGGAGGGGGAAGCGACGGAGATGGGGGGGGGAGAGAAGTGTCAGGTGGAAAAAGCGGGCACAAAAAAGTCCTGTGGTCCCTCCCCATCTGTTATTATTATTATTATTATTATTATTACTATTACTTTCTCCAGTAAAGGGGGGTTGGAGAGCAGCTGGAGGAAAAGAATATATGGGGTGGGACCCCAGGACGATTTTTTGCATAGGAGCCGACTGCTAGGGTCTGAGGTCACTTTCCACACACACACACACACACACTGCTAAAATATTTGAGGCCCCCCCCCCAAGTTGATGGGCATTGCCATTCAAATAGTGTGCGTATTCCATGTCCTGTGTTCAATTATTCAGAGCTGGGCTTACCTGCCTCTCTCCCCCCACCAATATTTTATTCAGATTGTTCCCCCTGATGTGGGGTGTGTGTGGAGGGTCTGAGGGCCAGAGGGAAGATGGCAAGTGAGAAGACAGGAAGGAAGGGGAGGCTGATAGCCAGAGACTTAAATGGGGGAAGTTGTGCATGAGGGGTGGGAGAATAAGGGGAACATTTGGTGGGGGAGTTGAGAAGGAGAAATGGGGAAGGGTATGTGTGGGGTGGGAACCTAGGACTTTAGGGAGGGGGGTTAGCGGGGCAAATGATGTGAGGGCAGGGTGGGGTGCTAGGATGGGGAAGGCAGGGAGGAGAGAGGCACAGGGGACATACTGGTGGGAGAATAAGTTGGGAAACTCAAAAGAGGGAGAGAGAAACGGCAGGGTGTATGTGGGGTGGGAATCCTGGACTTTGCTGGATTTATGAGCAATTGGAGGGGAAAGCAGGCTAGCTGGACGGAAACATTGGAGAGAGGAAGGCTGCAAAGGCAGGAGGGACAGACACACACTATTGAGAGTTAGGAGATGAGATCAAGTGGGTTAATGCAAAAGGAGCAAGTTGGAGAAAGGCAGAGAGAGACATGGGTTGGGGGTCAGTGCTTTTCTTCTAGAAAAAGAGGTGCCAGTACTCACCATGAAGTTGTTACATTAAGTGCCACACTTTTAACCAGTGTTTTTCTTTTAGAAAAAAGGTGCTGGTGCTACATACCCTTGTACCACCCCCCCAAAAAAAAACCACTGGTGCGGGTCATAAGTGGGGTGGGACACCAGGTGGTGGTGTGAGTAGTTAGAGGGAAGAAGGGAGCATATGTGATTACCATCAGCTGAAAAGGAAAGTGTCACTTGGGAGGGAGGGAGAAGAGAGGAGGAATTGTGTGACTGGGAGAGAGATAATGGTGGGGAAAACAAGTTTGGGGGTGAGAGAGTACTAAGAGAAGGAAAGAGTGGAGGAGAAACAACATCCTCCACATTATTGTTAAATTTGTTGCCTGCCCTTCACCAACAGGTTACAGGGCGGATTACAACAATTTAAAATACAAATAGTTTAAACCGAGTATATCCACAGGAATAGAGTGGGACCTGAAAACACACATCTCAGGTGTCAAATGCCAGCACAGAGAAGTGTGCCATCAGCCTTCATTGATAGTTGTACAGTATAGTGAAGAAACCAGATGCACCTCTGTGGGGAGGGAATTCCACAATTTTGCAGCTGTCAGAGAAGGTCATTAAGGTCAGCTGTCCTTGGGAAGACTACCTGAAAGGTGGCTGAGAAATAATTTGAAATATAAGTATGATTAAAAAAAAATAATGAAATGAAATCTTCCCCCAATACAGTAGGGTGAGAAAATGTCAGGTGATAGAGGAACCTGTTGGGATGTTGCAGGTTGGAAGAATATGGGGAGTAGCTTAAGGATAGGGAGGTAGATGTGAAGAATTCCCCACCGCAATGCAAAGAGGAGTCTGTCTGATTGAAGGGAGTACACTGATGAGGAAGGAAGTTGAAGAGAAGAGAGAAAGGGATGAAAAATGGATGGGTACGTATGTGAGATGGAACTGCAGGTGGGATGAAAGAGGGCTAAGGAATTTGGACGGGAGTGTGCCAGATAGAAGTCCTCCTTAACGCTGTAGGAACGGAGGTAATGTCAGGTGAAAGGGAAACCTGAAGGGGAATGGGGGGTGGACTCAGTGATAGAGCAACATACTTCACACACAGAAGGTTTCAGGTTCAAGCCCCAGCATCTCCAGGTTCGGCTGGGAAAGGGTCTCTGCCCAAGGCCCTGCAGAGCTGCTGTCAGCCAGTGTGGACACTACTGAGCCAGGTGGACTGATGGCCAGACTCCATAAGGCAGCTTCCTATGTCCCTTGAGCAGGGTTTCCCAAACTTGTAGTCCACAAACAGCTGGAGACCCAACTCCCATCCCTAGTTATCAGGACCATTGGTCAGGGATGATGGGAATTGTAATCCAAAAACAGCTGGAGACACAAGTTTGGGAAACCATGCCCTAGAGGTAGATGTGGGGACTCTCTTCCACTTTCTCCCTGGTAGCAGTGTTAGATGAGAAGGTACAAGAAGGAGTTGAGGAAAGGCAGAGGTAGGGAGACAAGTGCCAAGAAATCAAATGAAGGCCTTTTGAAGTGAGGGCATGGTGCAGAGGGGGGGAAAGGTTTCCTATTGGTGCAGGTTATGGAAGCTACCAGGGTGGGTGGGTGCTTGGACCTTGCTTGAAGAAAAGCAAAATAAGGGAGGAGGGCAACTTAGGAGAGGTAACAATATGTATGCCTTCCTTCAACAGTGAACCAGCCAATTATGAGGGATCCTCAGTGCAAAAGAGAAGGGTTGGTTAAGGGGGCAACCCCCAGTGCAAGAAGGGGTGAAGAAACCAAGAGTGTTGAATAGCTTGAGAAGAGGGAGCGAAATGTGAGGAGTCCGGGATGGGTGCAGTAGTATCAGGTGTGAAGGGAGCCCAAATATAGTTTGAGGGTAGATGTAGCTGTGGCAGCAACAATGTGAGTGTGGCAACTCGGTGTGGGGTGCAGATGAGAGGAAATAATTGGGGGGGGGGCAGTGTGAGGGAGCAGCCAAGCGGGAGTAACAGCTTGGAAAGAGGTGGAAAGCTGTACAAGAGTATGCAACAAGCCTGTTTAAGGTATGTTTGTGTTAGATGGCATCTTGGATCCTGTGAATCAGCAGTGAAAGGTTGCAGGAGCAAATGGATATGTAGACAACATCAAAACGCCCACATTACATAGCTAACTTGGAGTATAACATTAGGTAAAGATGTAAACTACTTATACTTGTGGGCGTGGAATGACACTGTGAAGTTTGGATAAGAAGGATGAAGGAGGGGCAGCAGTGACACTGTGTGTGGAGAGTTAGGGAGTGAAAGAAGTTGTGCTCAGTTGCAGGGAACTGGTGCTTAACGGGGAGGGAAGGTATTGGCAGTAAAGCAAAGGCTGGGTTTGTGGTGGTCAGTGAGAGATGTAAACCATGGGTATGTAGTTTGTTTTAAAAGCTTTGGCCGTGAGAGCAGTTTTCATGCCATAGCTTAACTTTAGCCTGGAGGTAAAAGTGGTAATGCAGCGAGTTTCCGATGGGTTGAAGGTAAATCCATTTATATTGCAGCTTTACTAAGTACTATGCTCATCTCTTTAAACGTAGACCTAGAAATGCTCTTGCAGAAGGAAAGTAGGGCTTGTTTATTTACATGCTACTCCCATCCCTTGTAGCCTGTATTCTATTACAAAGTACCTGTTCTGTGATGCATTAGAAGTATGGCAAGTAATTCAAGCATCAGGACTTTAATCCTATGTATTTACTTTTCTATATTGGCTTCATTTCATAAGAAGGCAGATTATTCTAGAACTAACTCTGTGGTCATTTCCCTGTGTCTGTATTAGTGAGGCTCTATTTCAGCTGTGCACATTTTTGTTCAAATAATTCTGTGTATGGCTCTTCAGCCATCCTGCTTTGTTGCTAGCACTTCCTCCTTTTCTTGGTGCTGTGTACTTTGATCACTTAATCTTGGATATAACTATTTATTTCTTAGGTTCCCCCCTGCCTTTTGATCCTGGAATAGTTTGATAGTGATCCATAGGCATTGGTTGTATAACAACTTGTGTTTAGTCTTCCATGATTTGCAGTGGAAGGAATGTGGCTGCATGTAGACGACAGCAAAACTGGGATTCCTGTAGATAACTTTTTTTTTTTTTGCTTTAACTGTCAAAACTATTTCTGTGACAAAGCCTTGATGAAAGAGTATAGTGAGGATAAAAAAATGGCAGCTTGGGGGAGTTGCAATCTGACCTCCTGAGGCTTCCTATTTGGTCCTTGGCATAGCTTGTAAGAATCCCCCTTTCATTACTCACTTTGGCCACTTCTGCCACTATTTACACAAGCAAATAACATTTTAAACTCCTCTTTCCTTATAGTAACAATCCCTGTGGCCTTATGTTTTTACCTTTGCTGAAAATTGCCCTGGACTCCTTTTGAAGGAAGGGCAATTAATAAATGCATGTTCCTTAGATGTCTACGTACAATGTAGGCAAAATGCTTCTTAAGTCCAAGTGCCAGCTGTTCAGTAATCCATGGTTAACAGTAAATCAGGAATGCAGAGATTGCTACCACATTTCTCCTTCTCTATCTTGCAAGTGGGAACAGCTAACATGAGCTTGTGACTTGTTTTGCTAAAACAAACTATGATGGGAAAACCAAGAACAAACTTTAGCTTCACACTGGTTTGTTTGCAGCAAACCATAGCCCCCCCCCATGTTAGAATTTAATGGCAAGCCAGGGTCATAGTTGGTCGCGCTAGAGGAGGACTACAGTGGGAACCATTTACACAGTCATCCACTAACTATGGCTTATTTTCACATGTGAATGCAACCAGTGACAGAGTGTCTTTTGTACTTCAGCTGCTCACTCCTGTGCCAAAATCCAATGAAAAGGGAGTGAGTAGAGCAATTGGGCACTAAGAAATGAACTCTGCCAAAGTTTTGCTCTTGAATTGGGGAGGAAGATGTCAAAGAGCTCTCTGCTTGTGGCTTTGTGTAAGTGGAAGTGAGCAGTAGTTAGAGCCAGCGTTACAGTCCTTCAAGAACTTCTCAAAGTATAGCAATGGTTATGCTGACCAAGAAAGTACAGGGTTCTGTGAATGGTCATTCGATCCAACTTTTATTGGGCTTCACCTTAGCTTTTGGTTTGCCATATATTGCTGTTATAAATTGCAGGTGTTATTATTTTCCAAAATACCCATGCATTTTTACTTAGTCTTCTAATAAATTAGCTGCATGGGTGCTGGGCCCAAATAGCAAGGGAATGGGTGTTTGATATTGGCTTGTGTAGTGGCTGAACTTTCCTTCTATTTAAAAATAAATTAGCTGATGGAATTGACAAGTTATCTAGACAAATGGGTACAATTTGCCCAAACTAGACTGGGTTGCAGGATCTCGTAATAAACTGCGAAAGGCAGAACAGTGACTGGGAAGAACTATCCTATGTTTCCCCATTTATGAAATGACTGCCTACTTTGCAGCAACTCTTAAGTAGTGTAGGGTCTTTAAATGGGTAGTCTACTGATAATGCAGAAGCGCTGAGTTACAGTTATGTGTATGGTTGATTACCTGAGTTACAGTTATGTGTATGGTTGATACCTACGGGACCGCCTCTCCTGGTATGCCCCATAGAGAAACTTACGGTCTTCAAATAAAAACATCTTGAAGGTCCCAGGCCACAGAGAAGTTAGGCTGGCCTCAACTAGAGCCAGGGCTTTTTCGGCCGTGGCTCTGATCTGGTGGAACACTCTGTCACAAGAGACCAGGGCCCTGCGGGACTTGACATCTTTCCGCAGGGCCTGCAAGACAGAGCTGTTCCACCAGGCCTTTGGCCAGGGCACAGCCTGACTCCCTCCCTCAGCAATCTTTGTGGAGCTCTGGCCCAATGGTTGCCAGTGGCTTGAATTAATTAATTTTATAATGAATGATTTTAGAGTGTTGTTTGTGCTGTACTTTTGTACTGTTTTATTGTTGTTAGCCGCCCTGAGCCCGGCTTCGGCTGGGGAGGGCGGGATATAAATAAAATTTATTATTATTATTATTATTATTATTATTGATTATGTCTAAGCTTGATAAGAAAACGTGCAGGTAGATGTACCCATGAAGTTACAGACAGCATTTCATCTATAGATTTATAATCATTTGTTCTTAGCTAGCATATGAGAAGCACAGAGACTTTTCATCTGGCACACTAGGGTACAGTTTTCCAACATGCTCGCAACTGCAACAGCTTACAGTTTCTAACAAGTCCTAGATTGCAAACACCAAGTATCCTGTTCCTTTAAAAAGAGCTAAAAGCTGGCTCATTGTGGTAGCTGAGAGTATGAACTACCAAGTCTCTTTCTTCTCAAATCACGCTCACCTTGCCCATGAGCTAGTCACTAGGTGGCCACAAGAAAACCCTGTCTTTCAGGCTCATCTCCCTCTATAGGAATGATAATACTGCCTGCTTTATCTGAGCAGTTCTTTCAAGACACCTGCCCCCTTTAGCACATATGTTCCTCCCTGTGCTCTTAGGCCATGACGGCCCAACTTTTCATACAAAGTGGGCCGCAAGGGTACTTTGACACGGAACCTGTTGGCTGCACACTGCTGTGTTGCACATCGGGGGGAGGAGGAGCAAGGCCAAAATTTGACGCCCCCACCCTCAGCCAGTTTATTCCTTTTCAGTTATGTAAGTGATAAGGACTGTGCTTCAGTTCAGGAAATATAAAAGGTTTCTTCCTTCTTCTTTTTTTAAAGAAGGAAGCATCTGTGTGAGCTGATGGTCATGATGGCTTTTGGTTGCTTCTGTATCTGAACTTGTGTAACTGGTAGTGACTTGTGATGGGAGAGTAGAAGAGGAAGGGAAATGGAAGTCATGTGACTGGCAAATAGCTGTTGGCTGCTTGAGAACCTATGGAGAGAGGTTGGTGAAGAGCTGGTTGAGTCAGGCCCATAGCCGGAACTGTTTTGATTGGAAGCAATTTTTGCACTAATTTAACAGAAAGGATAAACTTACATGCACATTAGTAGTCCGATATGTGTTATTTAAATTTGAATAAAATATTAACTTCTAGAAAATGCAAATTGCAAAAATGCCCAATGCTTCCAGAACACTGGAGGGTAAGAACAGTTGTAATTCTTACTGTGAGCAATTCGGTAGACTACTTACGGCATGTCTCTCCTCGTGTCTTTTCCTTTTAACCCCTGTACTCCTAACTGCTGTTTTTAAAAAGAGAGGAAGATGTAATATTCTCAAGCTTAGAGTCAGGCCTCCACCTCATCTTCTGATTCCCTACCATGCGGCTACTTCTTTGAGTTTGGGGGTTGTATACTGTCAATTCCACAGTTGGAGCAGTAGTTTCAATATTTATTGAATAAATATTCAACAGTATTACAGAATCTTGTCATAAGTGTCTCATCTTATTGCAGAAACCTCTTGTCATAGAAGTGTCTCATCTTAGTTTTAGGATTAAAATATGATTATGAAAGGCTATTCTCTACCACCTCCTTATTGCCCATCTTTTGAGGGAAGACTCTGTGCACACTTGTGATGCAGGGAGAGAGGAAATAATCTTCATACGCAATATACTGACAATTCCAGATTCTTTTGCTTGCTTGATGGTATGATCAGGGTGATCAGCCATGATTGTTGGAAGTCAGCCATTGTGGGTCAACAATCAGACTTTTAAAATGCTTTTTTTGTGTGTGTGGCCTCTGTCCAAGAGGCTGGTTGCATATGACTGAAATCTAAGTAGGGATGAGTTTAAAAAACAGCCTTCTAACCTCATGATTAAAAAGATCAAACCAGAGCCCTCATACTCCTTACCATTCACAGTGATTGATGTTGTGCATTTCTATTCACCAATCAAACAGGTCAGGTGATATTCCCTGAGACTTAATAGAATCGTAGAATTGTAGAGTTGGAAGGGATCACAAGGGTCATCTAGTCCAACCCCCTGCAATACAGGATTCTTTTGCCCAGTGTGGAACTTGAATCCACAACCTTAAGATTAAGAGTCTTGTGCTCTACCAGCTGAGCTATCCAGTTCCTCTGTATGTATGCAGAAGTGGGTCATTGGGAAGGTGGGTGGAGCATGGCTATGTTTTGCTCCTGCTTACTCCACCCCTGGCTGACCCAAAACTTTTCATCTTCTGCTTAGTAGCTCCTGGCTCAGTTACTTCTTAAACAAAGTGGAGTTATTTCTCCTTACCAAAAAGCTGTTCGTCATTGCCATTCTAAAATGACATAGATGTACATGAAGCGCCCCCACATCTAAATTTGGAGAGGTTGGCTGGGCAGAGGCTTGCTGCAGCTCATGGCTTCATTGATAGTCAGACAGGAGGTGAGGGAATCTGGTCAGTAGTAAGCCACTCGCAAAGGCTTGTCAGTGCCAAGTAGGGGGTGGGGCAAGGGCAAGGCTAAAGTTCCTAGCTTATTCCAGAGAACCCAGCAGCTGAGTCCCCTTGTAGATCAGCCCATGAAACAAGCCTTACCCAGAAGCTTTTATAGGGGTCAGGAATGATTGTTTGACCTGCTCTTGCCTTATTACCCCACAGAGGCTCAAGTTCAGACACAGTAGTGGCAAAATGCTTGTAATGTTCATCATTCTTATGCTCCGTGCCTGAGCATATTTACGTGCTTACACATAAGGATTAGATCTGTTTTTAAGATGTTTTGTTGCTCTCTTGTAACCAAAGTGAAAATCTTCTTTATTATTGAAATTACTTCTTAACAGAAGGATGACTGTGGTACTAAAACATTTAGTAAAGGGTTTTGTGACAGGGTGGGAGCGCTATCACTGACTCTTGGGATTGGGCTGCCTTCCTGGTTTGCACAGGGGTGCAGTGTTCATGCGCTTGTCTCTCTAGCAGGGTGAGCTCACACTGTGTGTATGAAGAATTCATTACTCAACTTGTAGTGGTAGGGAAATGTCAGATTTAATGTAGAAGGGCTTACAAAACACTTTTGGCAGAGCCATAATGGAATGCTTTCAAAGTGGAAAAAGGCAACCTTAGTACAAATTCCCTTTTAACCTGTTAGTTTTAAGATACGCTCTCTAGTTTAAAGAATCCAGAAAATATTTAAAAAACCTGCAGCTGTATATTGTGCCCTTTAGAGTGTGTTCATACCACCCACTTTTCTTTCCAGGAAGAAGTGGCCATGCTTTCTTTTCATCCCTTCTCATCTCATAAAATTCTGCTATTGGTTTTTGTGGGTGGACATTTTGCAAAACTAAAGGAAAAAAACATACCTTTAACTACTGCTGGAAAACACATTGTTTATTGCAGATTGCGCTTTAGGGCTGATTCCAATGCTGTGTGTTTTGAAGTGAATCTTTAGATGCAATAACTGGTCTTAATACTTCAAGGTATCTTCCATAGAAAGGTAACTTCAACCACACCCACAAAGAGCAGCAGGTGAGTTATTTGTGAGCAAGTGCCCCAGCCTGATGTGTGAAGCAGAAAACTGGGTTGTTAACTCCCGACTAATTATGAATAAATAAAGTTATGAATAAATAAAAACCCAGTGCATTAAAAGGAACTCATCACAGCAATCTGCATGAGAGGCTGCTGCAGATTTTTTAACTGGGAAGGGCTTTGGTTCAAGTACCAGCCTGGGGTCTGGATATGGCTCTTCAATAGATTTCTCTGCATCCTTCCTAAGCTTTAATTCCCATGAATCTTTAGGGAAATCTATAGCAGTTCAACCCCTTTAATTTAGGGGGGAAAGTGAGCAAGGTGGCCATGATAGGGGTGTGTAAAATTATTCATGGTATGGCAAAAGTGGAAAGGGAGAAGTTGTCCCTTTCATTATACCCTCCCTTCAAAGAGTATATGCTCTGCATATTTCTCCTCCAACACAAGATGGTTGTAAGTTGCTTTGGACAAGATAAAGCGACTAACAACATTAATGGATGATGATAACAACAACAACAACAACAACAACAACAACAACACCTACACAGCAACACTTTGAGATTAGTCAGGCTAAGAAAGAGCAGCTGGCCCAAGGTCATGACTGGAGATTTAAACCTAGGTTTCTGCAATTTTAAACATGTAACCACTAAGGTAAAAGGTAAAGATAAAGGACCCATGGACAGTTAAGTCCAGTCAAATGTGACTATGGGGTGCAGCGCTCATCTCACTTTTCAGACCAAGGGAGCCAGTGTTTGTCCACAGACAACTTTCCAGGTCATGTGGCTAGCACGACCAAACAGCTTCTGGCGCAATGGGACACTGTGACGAGTGCCAGAGTGCACTGGAAACATCGTGGAACCACTAGGCCGCACTGATCTATTTTCCTTATGTGTTTAACCTTAAGGGTTCACATACCTGCTATCTAGTGTTGCCATGGTCTCACAGAGCTGCAAACACCATGCTGAAGTGTTGGACTCGGACTGAGGGGACCCGGGTTCAAATCTCCACTCAACCATGTCACACACTGTGTGACCTTGGGACAAATACTGTCTCTCAGCCTAGCCTACCTTGTAGGACTATGAGTCTAAAGTGGAGTGGGCAGAACCAAGTACACTGCCTTGAGCTGATTGGAGAAATTGTATTTTATATATATATATATATATTAAAAATTCTATCTGTCTCTATGGTGGTTTTATGTGGGGGTGTTGCTGTTAGTTTTGCAGTGTTTCAAGATATAGTCACAGTAGTGTAGTCAGTGCTGAATCATCCTGACGTGATGCACTCTTTGTACATAATACAATAAATATATACTGGGGGTGGGTGGGGGGTTATTGATGTTGTTTGTTACTATGTTATATTTTTGTGGTTTTGTATTGTAAACTGCCCTGTGATCCTCAGATGAAGGGCAGTATAGAAATTTAATAAATACAGAAATGTAGGCCAGTGAGTGTGGTTCTGTTGTAAAAGAAAATCAACGCGGAGTCGTGTTTTGACTTTATATCATAGGAAAATATATTTCATGTATGACATCCAGAGAACTGTGGTTATGGGCCAGCCTAGAAAACACCATTAACAAACCATAAATAAAAAGAAATTTTCTTGTATTCTCAAATGAGTTTAAGTAGAAAGCTTTAATAGAGTATTTGCTGCCGTTTATCAGACAGAGAGCAGCAAAACTGGCACGAAGCAGCCTGAGAAGATTTTTCCATTTATTTGTACTTCTGACATGTTTAATCTGCTTATGTGGAGATGAACGATGGCTCTCATTTGGCAAAGGTGTGGTTGCAATGTACTGAAAGTTAGTTTGGAATTTTATGCTGTTTCTAAAACACTGTTTCATGGCTCACTGGTACAGCACTTGTTTTGTATGCATCAAACCACTTCCAATTAAAATTACCTTGGGTAATTTTAAGGTGGGGAAACATCTCTTAGGCCAGAGATGAAGAATTTGTGGCTCTCCCCAAGTTGTTGGACTGCAATACTCATCAGCCCCAGCAGGCATGGTCAGTGTTCAGAAATGATGGGAATTGTAGTCCAGCAGCTTCTGAAGGACCTCAGGTTCCCATCCCTGTCTAAATCTTGGGAAACAGCTTCCAATCAGAGGAACATGGTACTAAGCTGGACTGATCTGAGTCAAGTTTTTGATTGGTGCATGAACAACCTGATGTGCAGGTTCCTTGATCCCCAAAAGCAAGTAGTTGATTCCCCTGTATTCGTGGCTAAAATTTATTTCCCAACTGTTCTGAATGGATTGTTTATTTATCAGAGGTTATCTACCTCAAGGCAATTTGAGGTGGTTTACTTAGGTAGTGGGTTTTTTGGTGGGAAGCAGAGTGGGGGATGCACGGAACTGCCCCGAAATGCTGCACAATCACATATACTGGGAAGTTTTTACCTCCTTTTCCTCCTCCTTTGGCGATCACTTATAGCCGAGTAAGATTGTCTTCCATGAAAACGGTCTTAACAGTGAATCCGTTAGTGATTGTGGAGGCCAATTCTGTATCCACAGTTCCTTCCACAATGGGGACCTAGGTTTCCAGGTAGGCGTTGATCACGGTGAGGGTTTACCAAATGTGCCTTCATCTTAGCTAATATCTTCTTTTCACCCTGAGTTTGTGCTTCTTCAAAGTCCATGACACCTTTGGTAAATGCTATTCTCCAATTGGAGCACTCGCAGGCCAGTTTTTCCCAGTTATCAGTGCCAATACTACATTTTTTAGATTTGCCTTGAGAGCATCTTTTCTGGTCCACTGATATTTTGCTTTCCATTCTTAAGTTGGGAATAGAGTAGTTGCTTTCGAACTGACCCATAATGCGGCACAATCGCATCTACTGCATCTTACCTGCAGCTGCATTGAAATGAATAGGAGCTGCAGAAGAACTCTGAATGTTTGTTTCAAAGGCCATTCAATAAAACACTGAAAGCATTCTTCCTTGTTCTCGTAAGCTTAGATATTAGGTCAACTTGGTCACAGCATTAATTACCCTTTTGCAAATAAGTACACAAAATACTGCACACTTTTTTCGCTAGCTAGCTAGCTTACATTTGTGTATTAAGACGAGGCAGGATGGTTTAGAAAAAAGCTTTAGGCTGCAGTTTTATTCGGTGTTGCTTACCGTACTTGTTTCTAGAATTCTGGATTTTATTATTCTTTGAAGTTTTAGTTATTTGATTATTTGAATAATTGTCATGATACATTTTTAACCAAGTTGGTGATTTATGATTCTGTAATAATTTTTTTGAACCACATGATGGGACATACTTTGTTTTCAAGCCTTGCTTCAAGGACAGGTTGACTAATGACTGTTTCAAGTGTATTCATTTGTAAAGTGGTTTCTTTCTGTACACAGACTTTGGTAAATATGGAGAGGAGTGACATTTTTATCTTTAAGTCTCTGGAACTAGTGCCCTCCAGATGTTGTAGACTACAACTTCCCATCAGCCCCAGCCTGCAAGATCAATAGTGGTGGGAGTTTTAGTCCAACAACATCTAGAAGGCACCAGGTTAGGGAAGGCAGATGTAGACTGTATAATCTAAGAGCTGAAAATATATACAGTACTTCCTAAAAGGTACAAATTCTGCTTCTCACATACTAGGGATTGATGTGGATGGTCTAAAAAATATTACA